TCTCGAACCCGTGGGCTCAGGCAATCCTCTCACCTCGGCCTCCCAAAGTGCTGGGATTATAGGCGTGAGCCACCACGCCCAGCCTTACTTCACTCTTCTAAAGAGAAAATTGTGTCTTTCAGCAGCTGCTTCACAGTCCCAGGATTCCAGGCTGGTGTTTCAGCCCCTAGGCTCGGACTGTACTGTGCCCTCTCCCCGCCAGGCCGCTGCTGCTAGTATGTAGTGGATCCTGGGCGACTAAGGTTAATGAGAAACAGGGCGCTATGTCCTCCACGTGTAGAAGGGGAAGATGGCCTGGAGGGCAGGGAGGCCTGCTCTGGCTGCTGACAGCTGGATGGACTGCCAGGGATCAGAGAAAGCCCAGGCAGAACCAGGCAGCAACACGGTAAATAGTCCCCGCTCCCGCTAGGGGGCGGTTGAGTGTCAGGTCTGCGGTATTGCGCCTGCGCCTCGAGCGCCATCTCGCCCACTCTACGCATGCGCGGCGCACGTTAGCTCAGCTAGGAACGGGGAAGATGGCGGCGTCCGTGGTTTGCCGGGTCGCCAGCGCCGGGGCACAAGTGCTGCTGCGCACCAGTCGCTCGGTGAGGCGGCAGTGAGAGTGAGGGGCTGCATGGCGCCAGGCGGAGGGCGCAGAACTTCTGGACGCGGACTGGATGCAGGCCATTAGCGGGGGCAGGTTGAGGTGGGGAGGACGCGAGGCTAGGGCCTTGGGAAGGTCACGCCTGAGGGCGGGGATGGCGTCTTGTCGCTGGAATGGAGGCGGGGATGGGGGTCTCACTGCGGCCCTGGGCGGTGGGGAGCGATCCCTTAACCCTGTCCTTAATCACGGCCGTCCCCTCCCCAGCGGGCCTTGATGAGGAGACCTGCCTTGAGTACGGCAACTTTCGCCGAGGCCCTCCAATTCATGCCGGAGACTCAGGTTAGCCTGCTGGACAACGGCGTGCGTGTGGCCTCGGAGCAGTCTTCCCAGCCCACCTGCACGGTGAGTGGAGGGCGCCGTTAAAGAAGGGGCCTCCACATTGGGCCTGCCATCTTTACCCAGGTCGGGTGTGACCTTGGATCCTAGTATTCATGTCTGTGGTTTGGGTTCAAACTCAGGCTCACTCGCCTCGGGTTGTCCCCATTCCCCATCTCACCTACACCTTGGCATCATGGATCAGTCTTCACTATAGTCTTCGCTATCCAACATTCATTTCGCATATGGTGCCTTCCAAGTAGACGGCCACATTCATTTCCAGCTTTTTGAAGTGATCATATCTCCATTTTATAATGAGGAAAATACGATTCAGAGATATTGAGTGACTTGCAAGGGTCGAGGTCTGTCAGCCTTACTATCCAAGGTCATAATCACCATACTAGACCAGGAGATTATTATGCACTTTCAGAAGAAGTGCTTTCCAAGATTGCAGTTAAATGAATGGTTTTCCAAAAAATATAAATTATCAAAATTGACTTAAGAATAGAACTCTTGATTCAAGAATAGATATATGGCTGGGCGCAGTGGCTCACGCCTATAATCCCAGCACTTTGGGAGGCCGAGATGAGAGGATTGCTTGAACCCATGGGTTTGAGACCAGCTTGGGCAACTTGGTGAGACCTCATCTCTACAACAAAAATTAAAAAAAATTAGCTGGGCATGGTGGCACGTGCCTGTAGTTCCAGCTACTTGGAAGGCTAAGGCGGAAGGGTTGCCTGAGCCCAGTAGGTCAAGGCTGCAGTGGCTGTGAGTGTGCTAATGGACTCCAACTTGGGTAACAGTGAGACTCCAACTCAAAAAAAAAAAAAAAGAAAAGAATAGATGAGAAGATTCCCAAGAAATAAGTTTCTCCTCCTCTCTTTAGCCCCCTCCTGCAGCTTCAGGGCCAAGTGGTTTTTTTTTTTTTGAGTTGGAACTTCACTCTGTCACCCAGACTGGAGCATATTGGCACGCTCACACCACCACAGCCTCGACCTGCTGGGCTCAGGCAATCCTTCCACTTCAGCCTTCCCAGTAGCTGGAACTGCAGGCAAGTACACCATACCCAACTAATTTTTTGATTTATTGTAGAGATGAGATCTCGCCAAGTTGCCCAGGCTGGTCTCGAACCCACGGGCTCAGGCAATCCACTCACCTCAGCCTCCCAAAGGCTCGGGATTACAGGCTGAGCCACCAAGCCCAGCTGGCCAAATGATTTTATTGTCACACTTTCAGTTTTCCAGGAACAAACAATGTCCTATGATATAAGTTGTTACTAAACACAGGAAAAGGTGGTGGGTAACTTCCTTGTTATATGGTACCTGTTTAAACTAACCCAAAGCCTGTTAAGAAAGCTCAGTAGAGAATGTGGTCTTTCATAGACTCTAAGATGCCCGAGATTCTAAGAAGCACCTCTGTGCTCCAGTGCCAGAGAAAGAATCTTGTCAATTTTAGTCAAGGGTACTGTGGATTATTATCATTTTTTTTTTTGAGTCTTAGTCTCTGTTGTCCAGGCTGGAGTACAGTGGCACACTTACAGCTACCGCAGCCTTGACCCACTGGGCTTTGGGTTAGTTTAAACAGGTACTATATAACAAGGAAGTTACCCACCACTTTTTCCTGTGTTTAGTAACAACTTATATCATAGGACATTGTTTGTTCCTGGAAAACTGAAAGTGTGCCAATAAAATCATTTGGCATGGTGACTCATGCCTATATTCCCAGCACTTTGGGAGGCTGAGGTGAGAGGATTGCCTGAGCCTGTGGGTTCGAGACCAGCCTGGACCACTTGGTGAGACCTCATCTCACAGCCACTGCAACTCCAACCTGGGTGACAGAGTGAGACTCTGACTCAAAAAAAGAAAAAAAAATTTTTTAGCTATGCATGGTGGCTTGTACTTATAATCCCAGCACTTTGGGAAGGCGGAGACAAAAGGATGTCTGAGCCCAGGGGCTTAAGACCAGCCTGGGTAACTTGGTGAGACCTCGTCTCTACAATAAACTAAGCAAAATTAGCTGGGCATAGTGGTGCATGCCTGTAGTTTCAGCTGTTTGGAAGACTGCGACAGAAGGATTGCCTAAGCCCAACAGGTGGAGGATATGGTGGCTGTGAGCATGTAACTGCACTTCAGCCTGGGTGACAGAGTGAGACTCACTCAAAAAATAAAAAATACTCTACAATAAATCAAAAAATAAACCGGGCATGGTGGCGTGTGTCTGTAGTTACTAGCTACTTGGAAGGCTGAGTTGGAAGGATTGCCTGAGCCCAGCAGGTCAAGGCTGCAGTGGCCGTGAGTGTGCCACTGCACTCTAGCCTGGATGACAGAGTGAAACTCCAACTCAAAAAATAAATAAATAAAAATTATAAAAATAAAAAAAATTTTTAAAGGGCTTAATGGAAATATACTTCCTTAATATGATAACATATACAGTGTCTAAACCAGTAGTTTCATTCCTTAATGATAAAAAGATTAAGTCATCACCAGAACAAAGGCAACACATACTTTTTAGAAAGGAGAAAGTAAACTGTCGTTTGCATGCCAAAGGAAACGGAATTGACTGAAAAGTGAGACTGAACTTAAGCATTTTCTATGATAGTGAGACAGTTAGAAGTGCCCCTGGGTGTCCTTGACAACCGTTCAGAAAGGAGAGGTGATGAAGTGTAACTAGTCATTTGGCTGGCCACGTGTTCTCCAGCACAGGGGCATCTCCAAGTGATGCCTCCAAGCACAGTGGTCCTGCTGGGGCAGTTTTTCCTACCCTGGGGCCCTTGAGCCTCCGCTCTACTGGGTCTCTCAGGGTGGAGAATGGGGGAGGAGTGGGGAGTGGTTTATTTGTTGCCTTTATTGGTGGCTTCTTGTCTAGGTGGGGGTGTGGATTGACGTTGGCAGCCGTTTTGAGTCTCAGAAGAACAATGGAGCAGGCTACTTTGTGGAGCATCTGGCTTTCAAGGTGAGGCTCTTAAAGTCTGTGTCTCCCCTGGGCTTGGGGCTACCTGTTGTCTCTCCTGAGGATGAAGGTCAGAAAAATTAGGCTCCTGATTATGGGTCTTCATTGGGGGGGTGATCTCTGATTGGCCTTTCTGAAAGGAGTCACATAGAGCTCAACCTGTCCTGAGTGAGTGCTTATCTGATGAGCCCCTGCATGAGGCCCAGGGAGCCATAGAAGCCCCACTTTACACCAGAGAAGCCAGGCCTGTGCTGTGTGCATGCATACGCGTGGACTTGTGAAACACACATAGATATGCATTTGCGTTGTAACAAATCCACAGACATAGGCATGCGTGCTTGTTGGTGAAATGTCTTGCTCTGGTGGAATACCTGGGCATCTCTTGATTATAAAGTAGAGATCCATGTTTTTTAAATGAATGAAAAAAATGGAGAAGGGGCTGTGGGGTGGATGGAAGTATAAAGCCAGAACGGGCAGCCCAGCCAGCTGCAGTGTCACAGATGTGTATACAGATCTTAACATGCATATGCATACTTGTGTGCATGCCTGGAGACAGCACCACTGCCCTATGCACATGTGACTAGTGTTAGATCCCACAGAGGTGGTCACTAGCACATACACACATAGTCATGAATGGCATGGGGAAAGTGGATTACGTCACTTGAATGCAGATGTGGGCTTACCTGACAGTGGGGGATACTTGTCAATCATTGGTAAGCTGATATAGGCACTCTGGACTTCAGGCAACACTTGCTCTGGCTGTGCCCTTCTATCCTGGCCTGGCTGTCACTATTCTGTTGGCCCACGATACTGTGGCCTCCATTAACTCAAGGCTTGCTTAGTGCTTGGTGAGCACCCAGGGTCTTTAACCTGTGAGGATAGGCCTCCTGATTGGTCCTGTTAATGTTTGGTTCCAGGGAACAAAAAATCGGCCTGGTAGTGCCCTGGAGAAGGAGGTGGAGAGCATGGGGGCCCATCTTAATGCCTACAGCACCCGGGAGCACACAGCTTACTACATCAAGGCACTGTCCAAGGATCTGCCGAAAGGTAGAGGAAGGGTCCAGGGACAGAGGGTTAGGACACCAGGATAGCTGAGGATAGGCTCCCAGGAGCCCCTGGCCTGGCCACAGAAGTGATTACCCTTAGGGAATGGCCTTGCAGCAGGGCAACTTGGGGTGGACAGCAGGAGATACCAGGCCCAGGAGTTTTGTGGTGTCTTTGGTTTTCTGTTGCCAACCTGACACTTAAACAGTTCCTCCTTGCATCTAGCTGTGGAGCTCCTGGCTGACATTGTGCAGAACTGTAGCCTGGAAGACTCACAGATTGAGAAGGAACGTGATGTGATTCTGCGGGAGATGCAGGAGAATGATGCGTCTATGCGGGACGTGGTATTTGACTACCTGCATGCCACAGCATTCCAGGGCACACCTCTAGCCCAGGCTGTGGAAGGGCCCAGTGAGAATGTCAGGTGAGAGTTGACTGGGATTGTGGTGGAATGTGTGCCCCATTCTGGCCGGGCCAGAACCCTTATTGGTCATGTTTTTAGTTGGCTGGCTGCCTGTGTTGTCTAAAATCACGTAATTGGAGATTATTTCTGTATTGGCATGTCGTCCCTGTGAGTCTTTTTGAATGACTTTGTGGGCTTCACTTGAATTTTGGGTTTTGTTTTAGAATGTTTCTATGTGTGTCCTGGCACTTTAAGGAAGAGAGTATCTGGGTATGCCATCTGTGTGACCTCTTGTCACCTGGTGGGGATAGGTTGCAAGAGCTGTGATGCTGCCACCCCTTTTTTGAGTTAGGGTCTCACTCTGTCACCCAGGCTGGAGTGCAGTGGCATGATCATGTCTAATTGCAGCCTCGAGCTCCTGGACTCAAGTGATCTTGTCTCAGCCTCCTGAGTAGCTGGGACTACAGGTACATGCCACCATGCCTGGCTAATTTTTTTTATTTCTTTATAGAGACGAGGCCTTGCTATGTTGCCTAGGCTGGTCTCAAACTCCCAGGCTCAATCCTCCTACCTTGGCCTCCCAAAGTGCTGGGATTACAGGCATGAGCCACTGTGCCCGGCCTGATGGTGCCCCTTGAGAGTCCCATAACATCAGCTCTGAAGAGGGTAACTCTTTAGAGAGGCCTGTGAGCCTGTCCTGAGGTCAGACATAAGCCAGGGCCAGATGAAGACTGCTTTCTGGGCCCTGGAGAGGTCTGTGGCAGAGACAGGGGAAGGGGCTCAAGAAGTGTGCTGGGACCTGCTCTTCAGATAAACCATACTCTCCTGCTCTGCCTTCTCAGCCCCATCTATGTGACCCATCTCACTCTAGTTTGGGAGAGGCATTAATGCATTGGCTTTATGTCTTATAGGAAGCTGTCTCGTGCAGACTTGACTGAGTACCTCAGCAGGCATTACAAGGCCCCTCGCATGGTGCTGGCAGCAGCTGGAGGTGAGCGATCAGTTATTGAAGCCCTGGGTGAGTGGGCACTGGCCTTGGTTATCAGATCCTTGGTCTCCTGGTTCTGACCATAGGGGACCATCTACCCCAGAGGACCCTGTTCCCACCCTGCCCTTGAAGGAAGTGACCTTTCTCCTATACTCTCTAAAGTTGCATAGGATTCTGGCCTGCTGTGACTTCTGGGACTGGCCACACAGGGACACTCTCCCTTTTACAGGTTTTAGGTCTTTTCAGCCCTGCCTGGTCCTAGGGTACTTAGTTTGTGGACTGGTAGGGGATACAAGCCCCTGGGCTTGTTTCTTGTGACAATACTGTTGGGTGAGCCAGACATAGGATGTGCAGTGATGCACATTTGATGATGGACCAGGAAGTGCCTTGAAAGAAAGGCATGGACTAGTAGACGAGATTTAATGGGGGGCTCAGAATTGTAGGCTGGAAGGGGGAAGCTTTTTAAAGCACATGTCGTTTGAACAGAAGCTTAGGTGGGTGTGTGGAACCTGAGCAGAGGGGAAGGGCAGTGTCATTGTCTGATGTGTTTTTTTTTTTGAGTTGGAGTCTCATTCTGTCGCCCAGACTGGAGTGCAGTGGCCGCTCCCGGCCACCGCAGCCTTGACCTGCTGGGCTCTGGCGATCCTTCCACCTCAGCCTTCCAAGTAGCCGGAATTACAGGCGCGCACTACCACGCCCAGCTGATTTTTTGATTTATTGTAGAGATGAGGTCTCGCTGCCCAGGCGGGTCTCGAACCCGCAGGCTCAGGCAATCCACTCACCTCAGCCTCCCAAAGGCCCGGGATTACAGGCTGAGCCACCGAGCCCGGCTTCTGATGTGTTTTAAGGTTTGCTCTGCTGCTGTGTGGTGCCAGAGTGAAAGGCTGATAAGGGATGGTCTATGCAGGTACTTAGAGAGCAATGGCAGGAGTGAGGGAAGGAAATGGATGGACTCAAGGTGATTTTTTAGATGGAAACCTAAAAAAGGTCTGGACATGAGTAGGATAGTGGGGTCAAGGATGCTTCCAACTTATGACCTTTGCAACTGGGTGTGTGAAGAAGACTGATCAGGAGAGCATGATGGGGACTTTGGAGTCAGAGAACCTGGGGGAAGAGGATTATGAGCTACTGACACGTGAGACTGTTGAGCCCTAGCAGGACTTGAGTTCATGGGAGGAAGGAATAAAAGGCCAAGACAACTGGCTGTCTCTCTGGGGTAGGCACTGCCATAGCGCTCACCAGTTGAGGTGCCATAGAAGGCCTCTTGTGGAGATGAGGAGGCAAAGTCCAGCAGGGGGTCCTGAGGGCTTGCATTTATAACATTACTTGTAAATGTCCCCAGCTCTCAGGGTGCCCCAGAGCTAATTACAACCCTGCAGTAGCACCTCTTTGTGTCCTCTCACTTGCCTCCCTCCTCTCACAGGGCCAACAGTCACGTTACTTGAAGTAGGGCTAGAGGGATAAGGCAGGTCTTGAGGAGCACCAGTCTTATCCTGGGTATAGGTGGTTTTGCTTCTTAAAGGGTGAGAATCAATATTTGTGTCACATGGCAACTCATGTTGAAGCTCAGGATGCTGCTTCTCTCATGGGACTGAGCCCATGGGAGCTGGGTCTTGCGGCACCTATCCTACCCTTGGGGCAGGGTCTGTCTGTGGCAGATCCTTTTTTCTCTCCCTCTCCCTTCCCTGATGTTGTGTCTTCCTTCTGGTATCTCCTACTTAGACAGGTCCTCTGCTTGTTCATGATTCCCCCTACCATGTGCCTTGGACCCTGGCTGGCCAGTAACTGCTGTCTGTCTCAGCAGGAGTGGAGCACCGGCAGTTGTTAGACCTTGCTCAGAAGCACTTTGGCAGTGTCTCTGGGACGTACGCAGAGGATGCTGTGCCCAGTCTTACTCCGTGCCGCTTCACTGGCAGTGAGGTGCGCTGCTTGGCGGGCAGGGGTTATACTCTCAGCTGGAAACCTCTGGGAGCACCCTCGTGTGCATGGTTATCTTGCTGACTCCAGAGACGCCTCAGGAGTTGGGAAGGGTTCCTGTGGCTGCTGCTTCACAGGCACACATGTTCGCATGCATGCTCACACTACACCCATACCTGCCACCCTTTCTGTTCACCAGCCACTCTGGCTGCCTCTCAGCCTTACTTATTGTTTCAGATCCGCCACCGTGACGATGCCCTGCCTTTGGCCCATGTGGCCATTGCAGTAGAGGGTCCTGGCTGGGCCAACCCAGACAATGTGGCCCTTCAAGTAGCCAATGCCATCATCGGCCACTATGACTGCACTTATGGTGGTGGCGTGGTGAGTGCCAGGAGTGAGCATGGGACCATGCCTTCAGAGAAGAGCTGGTGCTGGGGCTTTGTGCTCTCTTGCTGTGAGGATCAGGGTATGGACTGCAGCAAGAGGGTTGGTGCTGACTACCTTTTACCCTGGCAGCACCTGTCTAGCCCACTGGCTTCTGTTGCCGTCGCCAACAAGCTGTGCCAGAGTTTCCAGACCTTCAACATTTGCTATGCAGAGACTGGGTTGCTAGGCGCACACTTTGTCTGTGATCGAATGAGCATCGATGACATGATGTTCTTTCTGCAAGGCCAGTGGTGAGTGCCAGCCCAGTAGTACTGGCTGGATTAGGGGCCTTTGACTAGGATAGCAGGAGGCTAGAGACAACACGCTGTCTCTCAGAATGAACACCACTACCTCTCCTCACTTTAGGATGCGCCTGTGCACCAGTGCCACGGAGAGTGAGGTGACCCGGGGCAAAAACATCCTCAGAAATGCCCTAGTGTCTCATCTGGATGGTGAGTCCTGCAGCCCTGTGGGGAGGGATAGAGTGCATCCTGGCAATGACAGTCCCAGTGTGGCCACCATTCCTAACCAGGATTGGAAAGGAAAACCTTGAAGACCACACCATACCCCACCACCCCATCCCTAGACATGCAGGTGGGGGTGGGCCAGGTCAGTAGCCTATCACTACAGTAACAGGTGGTTGTGGAAGAGGGGGCTGTGCTCTGGGTCAGCAAGGTCCTTGTTAACCTGAGGCTAGAGGTTGGTTGTGTACCTGTGGGTCCAGGGTTAGAGTGGGCAGACCTCTTAAGTCTTCTCCCATCCTCTAAGGCACTACTCCTATTTGCGAGGACATTGGACGCAGCCTCTTGACCTATGGCCGCCGCATCCCCCTGACCGAGTGGGAAAGCCGGATTGCGGTAATATGGGCTCCTGGGAAGGATTCTGGAGTCTTGGCCTGGCAGACTCCTGGGGGGACTGGAGAGTTGGGGCCTGACAGAGCAGAGACCTCTACTATAGGCGTCCCTGGTGTCTGAGGCAGCTGTAGCCCACAGGGCTGGCATCATCGGCATGCAGGGCAGAGACACTGATGGTTGTGGGAGTGGACGGGGGCCATGGGAGTCTACAACAGGGAGATCCCTGCTGCCTTTCCCCTTTGGGATGGGGGACAATTCCACAGTACATGTGGGATATCTTGGTCAGCTGGATAATGTTGACTGGCTGAGGTGGTGCCCAGGTACCTGTCAGTCAGTGTGCTTTCTGCTTCCCCCTGCAGGAGGTAGATGCCAGTGTGGTACGTGAGGTCTGCTCCAAGTACTTCTATGACCAGTGTCCAGCAGTGGCTGGATTGGGTGAGTGGCCTAGAAGGTCCTTGGGCCATTATCTTAACTGCGCCTTGTACCCCTACTCCCCCACATCCCATCCTACACTGAGAGCAGCAAGTTAAGGCCCCCAAGAGGCTCTCCCCAGTAGTCTGGCTGCCAGGGAGTTCTTGCTCAGAAAACCTGTCCCAGCAGCTCCCTGACTTCCTGCCAAGATGCCTCCATCAATACCACACACCCGCCAGGTAACGGGCACCTCTGTGTGTGGGGTGGGGCTCCAAGGGCCAGAGCATGAAGGGACAGGCTCAGCACCCCTGGGGGAATGTTGTCTTCCCTGTTTCTACTCAAAGCCTGCCTTGTGCTGCTCTGGGCAGCAGCTCCAAGCTGGGTGCGGCACAGGGCCAGGTGTCCCTGTGCAGGCCAGGTACCCCACCCTGTTGCTCCACCCTATCCCCACAGGCCCCATCGAGCAGCTCCCAGACTACAACCGGATCCGTAGTGGCATGTTCTGGCTGCGCTTCTAGGCAGGAAGCCTGTGTAAGCAAGAGGGCGGAGCCAGGGCTCATGGTTCCCCATCACCACGACAAACATACCACTCCAGCTGCTCAAACCCGTGCCACAGATTACCACCAGTAATAAAGTCTTCTGTTGAGATTGTGTTGTCCCTCTTTTGGCATTGGCTTGGAGTCCATTGGCAGTAGATGGGGAGCGAGGACTTCCCTCCACTTCTGCATTTCTCTGGGTCCTTCTGCCTTCCCACAGATTGATGTGTCCTAAGCCAGGGGCAAGCGTGTGGGCTGTAGCAAAGAGACCGGAAGCCTTTGATGCCTGCAGGAGCTGCATCCAGATGTTTCCACTCAGCCACATGGAGGACATTCCTCAGTTGACTTGGCCAAACAGTGGAACGTGGGAGTCCATAGGAACTGCAAACCTAGTCTTGGCCCTGATAGGAGTCCCAGCCTGGAAACCCTGGGGACTCAGGTGGGAAAATCCCACTGTCAACCCTCTGCAGAGTTGCCCTCTAATGGTCCCTGATCTGTTGGGATGGGCCAGGAGGAGTCAAGGGCTGTCCTATCCCTGAGGGTGCCTCCTTGGTGTGTTTATTCTGGATTCTGGGAGGAGGGTAGCCTAGGGCAGTGTTCCCATTTGGTTTCTAATTTGCTGCCTGGACAGGCCAGGCAAGAATCCTTTGCCTCCGCTGACTCAGGCTCCAAGAATAGCCCTGAGCTCAGTGGGGCCCGAGCCCCCTCCCTCTGCTAGATTTGTCCCAGGCAAGTCCTGAGCTGCTGGCCTGACAATCCCCTCCCCATCTTTCTGAGGCTGCCAGGACCTGGTGGAGCTCTCAGCTGCCTAGTCCCACTGGTACCTCTTTGGATCTTGGTCCCCGAGGCAGGTGGGCAGGAGGCCCCTCCTCATGTACCTCCCAATTCTTCCACAGGATCTCTGGAACCCCAGGGGGGAGATGAAAGTGAGGGGCCCAATTCTCCTTCAAAGAAGTTGCTGTCTGACAGTCTTGAACAGACAGTTCTGGTCTAAACAAGGTTGTTCAGAAGAGAGCTATTCAAAAGTCCGTCAGCATCCTAGGCCAGAAGTAGCCGAAACAACTGCTGTGTCACCCCTACCCTAGTGCCTTTCACCATTTACTGCCTCAAGTTGTCAATTAGGAGACATCTGTCAGGAACCTTCTACAGCCCATGATCGGGGTGCTTGCAGACCATTCTACTTTGTGACCTGTTAGAGAGAAGCTGCTGGATAGTGAAGAGCCCTAATGACCTAATTGTGTGCTCATGGAGATAAGCACACAGACGGGAACAAGTGCCAATCTTATTGCCTGAGTTTGAGCTCCTGGAGGCTGGGGCTTGACTTCTAAGTCCATGCCTGACTCTCAGAGGCTGCAGTTGTGCTGGACACACAGGGCATGTTGAGCTGCTAGGAGTGGAGTGATCTGGTCCTGGGGGACCTTGCCTTCCAAACCAGGGAATTGGTTCTTTACCCTGGAGGCATGTTGGGTAGGTGCCTTGGGAATTACTGCCAAGAGAAGTGATGTAGTTAGAGCTGAGATTTAGCACAGGGATACTTAGGCTGCATATCTGGGTCTGTCCTGGCAAACTGCTGTGGCAGAGCAGAGACCATGGCCATGGAGAGCTGGAGCTGGCTGCAGGGGATACAAGCAGACCTGCATTCCCAGCAGGGCTGGGGGACCCCAGGAGGGAGTGGGTTGGAGGAGGATAACATGCCATGGTCCTGGGGAGGAGTTAGGAGGTGTCTAGGATACTGTAGGGTGTGTGGGGCCCTGGTTGGAGGCAAACACGGTGCCATCAGGCAGAGGTGGTGACTAAAGCTAGGGAAAGAAATGTTAAGGGAAGCATGGGAGGGGGAAGGATGAGCTCCAGGGCTCCCACTGCCCTAATGGAGGGAGTTGCAAGTAGGCGCTGGTCTCAGGCTGTGCCCTGGGCTGTGTGCCTGGCAGAAGACCACAACCAGGGCCTCAGATGGCCTCACTGCTACTCATGAGCCTCATGAGAGTTCCAGATATGAACTCATTCCAACTTCCCAACAGTGTCTCCTAGTACCCTTTGAGAGATTCCTTCACAGCAGCCCTTCTTTTCTTTGGGGAGCACTTTAGTTCTGATGAGGTTGGCCCAAACACCCACCTCAGCTGGGTCTCCTGTCTCCCTAAAGGTTGGACACACATGTGCATGTATGTCCACACTGTATGTGCCCGCTCTGCGCTGCTCTCACCCACCCTTGTTGCACAGGAGGAGGCGACCATATTAGGAGCCAAGGGCTGCCTCTTTGATGAGCATGTCTGTTCTCTGCTGCCCTCACCTGGAGCATACCTTGCAGGAGTGGAGTGGGTTCTGAGACATGACTGAGGAGACAGACCCTTACCCTGGAAAAATGTCCTAGGCCCCATGGGGTCACAGTGGCGTGTCCCAGGATAGTTGGGGAGGGGAGAGTCAGTAATAAGGGGTAACTCCAGCCTTTCTGGGCAATAGGGAAGCAGCATGATCCTCGCTGCCCCCAGCTCTGGCCCTCCTAGAGTCCTCAGGCCGTGGAGGAGTCCAGGGGAGACATTTAACAGAAGGGCTGTTCTTGTATTTCCCCATTCAGCCCATAGGTCTCAGGGAAGGCTGCAGGCAAATTGGAAGGGGCCCAGTGGCCATGGTGAGCATAGATGTGCTTTCTGGACTACCCAGCGTTATCCAGGACTGGCAGGAAAAAATGGGCAGGCCCCAAAATGGGGGCCTGCTCTTCTTGGAGGTGCTGCTTTGCCTTGGTGTCACTCACCTAAGGAAGAGATATGTGTCTACAAAGACTCACCTCCTTGGGACGGTGGCCTTGACATGGAGGTGTGTGTTGGGGGACTGTCCACAGTCACAGAAGCCAACTGGGGGAGAGGGGTAGGAAGTCAGCCTGGTTAAGTGGAGAGGGGTGAGGTGGAGGCAGTATGAGGGGGGAAGCTACAGGCCCTGAGGGTAGGGAGGAAAGGAGGGAGGGGCCCAGGGTGGCCTCTGGGCCTTGCGGGGGTGATGGGTAGGAGGGGGCGCCATGAAGAGAAGACCTATGGGCCAGAATGAGGATATGTAGGTAGGGGGATCTGGCCTGGGGCATGGACAGGCTCACCAGTGGGGGTGTGGGTAAGAGGGGGTGGATTCCTGAGAGATGAGCTGTCACTGTGGGTGGTCCCACTCACCACATATGGACAGCCCTCCCCCCCTGCAGGCACAACAGGATGGCATCTGTCTGGGGTGGGCTTAAGGCATGGTAGGGGGTGTGCCCTGGGACTTCTGCATGAGCATGACATAGGCTCTCTCCTCTTGGCTTTACCTCTCCAAGAAGGACACGGTGAGTTACTTGGATCCAGACCAAGGGGGCCTTGGTTTCCCAAGTCTGAGTCCCTGGTCCCTCATTTGCCGGAGGCTGCTCTGCCTGTCAAGAGGATTGGGGTGGGGCACAGGAGGCCCACCAGACAGAGAGCTGGCTGAATCACAGGAGTGGCCGGTGGCGGTGGCGCGACCCAGGGCCTGAGGGCTTGTCTGGGCACCCCCACTGCTCTGGAGTGAGTCATCTTCAGCTGCAGCCCCCTTCCCCCACACTGTGTTGCTGCCTCCTTGGTCTGCAGGAACCTGTCCACATTTCAGCCTCCAGTAGTCATTTCACTGGCCACGATGGACCTAAAGCAACCAAGGCTTGTGACCCTGGATGGGATTGGGACGCTTCCTTAGCATCTGCCTGTGGAGAAGCTTCTAGGGGGTTTCCAGAAACCACGGGGGACACGGGCTTTATACTTCAGTGCGTCATATCTGACAGGGGGAGGGGTAGTGGGGGTGGCGACCTCTCGGGGATGTGGGTGAGGGCGGGCGCCTGGGTCCCCGCCTGCCGCTCCTCCCCCGGGGATCAGGGACTTTTCTCCGCTCTGCCGGCGGGACTGCAGCGGCGGCGGCAGGAGCAGGCGGACGTGCAGGCAAGACCAGGACTCGGGGTGGAAGGGCGCTGGGCTCGGACCCGCCAAGCTCGCGGGAGACCAGGGATGGAAGCGGGGGTCCTAGCTGACCGTTTCTACCACCTAGGATGAGGCTGCGGCTTCTGGTGGCCGTGCTCTGCGCCTGGATCCTGGCTGGGGCGTCCGGAGTGTGGACCCAGCACAGGGAGAGAGGTGGGCACGGCTAGGAAGAACCCTGTCACCCACGACTCCACTCGGGCTTCGAGCCTCGAAACCTCCCCAACTCCACGACCCGCCCTGGATTTCTCCTAACTGCGCGGATTCCTCCTAACTCTCCTCGAACTCCCCAAATTCGGCGATCAGCGCTGGGTTCCCCAAACCGCCTCCTGTCCTGATCCGACCCAAATTCTGGTTCCCCGGATGCGCGCCGCGTCCCTTGCTTTCTAACACTTCGCGCCGGCACCTAGAGACTTCACGCCAGTCCCAGACCCACACTCGTGCGTGACTTCCTCCCCGCGCGCCCTAACCCTCGCGGTTGCGGGAGCCTGCTCTGGGACGCCCCGCGGCTCCATTCAAGGCCCCCCGACCCACACTGCCTGGCCTGGGCTTGCATAAGCAGACCCCACCCCATCCCCCAAGTCCTAGGGACCACAGGTGGGGAGGGGGCTGGGTGGGCTCCCAGAAGAGGTCGTGATCTCTCCTCTGGGCCCCAGTGACCTGCACGCGCCTTTACGCCGCTGACATCGTGTTCCTACTCGACGGCTCCTCGTCCATCGGTCGCAGCAATTTCCGGGAAGTGCGGAGTTTCCTGGAGGGGCTGGTGCTGCCTTTCTCTGGGGCAGCCAGTGCACAGGGTGTGCGCTTTGCCGTTGTGCAGTACAGTGATGACCCACGGTGAGTAGTGTCCCGGGAACTAGGGACTAGGAGATCCCACCAAGATCTCTTTCCCAGACAGGTCAGAGAGCCCAGAAACCCCAGACCAGGTCCTTCCACAAACAGGTTTTGAGAACCCAGCGACACCCTGGGTGACAGTGGTAGGGATTCCCTAGGAAGAGCCCTTTCGCCCTGAAACACTCCAGGCTAGTGCCCTGCCCACAACAGGGAGGCTGTTTTCTGATCTGGAAGTGGGAGACCAGAGGCGCCACAGAGACCCCAGATGCCCCTGCTTGTTGGGCTGTCAGTGGTCTAGCTTCCTAACCCCTTCAGCCTTGTCTTTCACCAGAAGGGCTGTCTGTCTGGCCAACATCCACCTTCCTACAACTGGGCCCTTCCTCCTGTAATTATTTAATTAACCAGACATCCTGTCCCTCTAGGCTGTGTATCCCAAGGGCTCCTTCAGGCCTGCCCAGGCCCAGTTGCAAATGGTATACAAAGGAGCACCTGGGGAATTTATTAACTTGGGGTTTCAGAATTGGGAGGCAAAAATCGCAGAACCAAGAGAACCCTCAAGTCCACCTGATATACACAATTCTCACCCTAGAGGCTGAGGCCAGAAAAGGTCCTGATCCCCAGCCTGTTGCCACCCCCTATCTCCCAATAGGACAGAGTTTGGCCTGGATGCGCTTGGCTCAGGGAGCGATGTGATCCATACCATACGTGAGCTCAGCTACAAGGGGGGCAACACTCGTACAGGGGCTGCAATTCTCCATGTGGCTGACCGTGTCTTCCTGCCCCAGCTGGCACGACCTGGAGTCCCCAAGGTGATCCCTAAGCCAACCATGCCTCCCAAGGTGCCCTCTTATTTAAATATCCCAGGCAGTTCTGATCTGATTCCCACCTGTCCCAGGTCTGTATCCTGATTACAGACGGGAAGTCCCAGGACCTAGTGGATACAGCTGCCCAAAGGCTGAAGGGGCAGGGAGTCAAGCTGTTTGCTGTGGGTGAGTACTGAGCTGGGGTGGGGACCAGTCAGAGGGCATGTGGGCAACTGAGTCCTGATTGGGCATGGTCTTAGGGATCAAGAATGCTGACCCCGAGGAGCTGAAGCGAATTGCCTCACAGCCGACAAGTGATTTCTTCTTCTTTGTCAACGACTTCAGCATCTTAAGGACACTATTGCCCCTTGTTTCCCGGAGAGTATGTACAACCACTGGTGGTGTGCCTGTGACCCTGCCTCGTGAGTTCCTGCCCACGTTGTGTATTCCGACCCCAGGCCCAACCTGGGAGTGCTGATTCCACCCTGTGTGCTCCTGATCCCTGACCCCAACCCTGCACCTTGAATGCTGACCCCTGATCCTCCTGCCTGATTGTTTGATTCCCCCATACCCAGCTGATGTCTCAACCTCTGGTCCACGGGACCTGGTGCTGTCTGAGCCAAGCAGTCAATCCTTGAGAGTACAGTGGACAGCGGCCAGTGGCCCTGTGACTGGCTACAAGGTCCAGTACACTCCTCTGACAGGGCTGGGACAACCATTGTCAAGTGAGCGGCAGGAGGTAGGATGTCATGAGTAATAGGTGGGTGGCTGGGATCTTGGCTGGGCAAGATGAAGTGACCTCTGACCCTCGACAGGTAAACATCCCATCTGGTGAGACCAGCATGCGGCTTCAGGGTCTCCGGCCACTGACTGAGTACCAAGTGACCGTGGTTGCCCTCTACGCCAACAGCGTTGGGGAGGCTGTGAGCGGGACAGCTCGGACCAGTGAGCAATTCTGCCAACCTCTGACCCCACTCACCAAACCACCCACCCCAGTAACCCCTCCCCACTCCTGACTCCACTAATCTGTGGTGGGACCTTCCCCCAGCTGCCTTGGAGGGCCCAGAGCTGACCATCCAGAACACCACAGCCCATAGCCTCCTGGTGGTCTGGCGGAGTGTGCCAGGTGCCACTGGCTACCGTGTGACATGGCGGATCCTGAGTGGTGAGTGAGAGGTTGGGCTGAGGGGAGTCCCTGCACCTCAGACAAGACTGTAGAGTCCTGAGTCTACAAGGCCTGCTGACCCCTCTATGCTCCCTGTGCAGGTGGGGCCACACAGCAGCAAGAGCTAGGTCCTGGAGAGGGGTCAGTGTTGCTGCGTGACCTGGAGCCTGGCACAGACTATGAAGTGACTGTGAGCACCCTGTTTGGCCATAGTGTGGGAACTGCCACTTCTCTGACAGCCCGCACTGGTGAGAAGACTGGGCACTTTCTTCAGGCTGGGGTTGGCAGGCAGGGCAGGACACAGAGGCCACTGACATCCCATGTGTTCTGGGCAGATACCTCTGTTGAGCAGACCCTGCACCCGGTCATCCTGGGCCCCACATCTATCCTCCTTTCCTGGAACTTGGTGCCTGAGGCCCGTGGCTACCGGTTGGAGTGGCGGCGTGAGAGTGGTCAGTGCAGGGAGCAGGGGTGGATAGGCAGAGGTCAGGGCTTGGCCTCAGCTGGCCTGACCCTGTCATCTCACAGGCTTGGAGCCACCACAGAAGGTGGTGTTGCCCTCTGATGTGACACGCTACCAGTTGGATGGGCTGCAGCCAGGCACTGAATATCGCCTCACACTCTATACTCTGCTGGAGGGCCGTGAGGTGGCCACCCCTGCAACCGTGGTCCCCACCGGTGAGGGCCCTGTGGGGTGGGCAGGTAAGGAAGGTGTAGGAGCCCAGGCTGCCTCTCATGCTATACTCTCCAACAGGGCCAGAGCTTCCTGTGGGCCCTGTGACGGACCTACAAGCAACCGAGTTGCCTGGGCAGCGGGTGCGCGTGTCCTGGAGCCCAGTCCGCAGTGCCACTGAGTACCGCATCACTGTGCGCAGCACCCAGGGTGAGCTGGATGCAGCCAGCCCACCCCCCCATACACTAAAGTTCCAGCCTGCAGGGGTTGAGTGCAGTGCACCTTTGCCCCTCTCCTTCCACTCCTGGGTCCCTCTAGTCTCCTCCTGTCTCTTTGTACATCTACCTCCCAAGATGGCACTGAGCCCAGAACTGTCACAGGGTCTGTCTGCCCCTATCCTACCCTAGCCTATCTCATCACCTGTTCTGTCTCCTCTCCCTGCCCAACATCCCTGTTCATGGCTTTCACTCTTTTCCATAGTCCCAAGCTCCACTGTCCACACTAACCTCTCATTGTATGTCCCCATCCAGCACTGATCTCTGCCATCCCATGTCAAAGTCTACCTGTAGGCTGTCAGCTTGCACTGCTGTTCACTGACTCTTGTCACCGACATCCTCCCATCCTACTGACCCACATCATCATGACCCATCCATCCCTGGCCCATGGTATCCTGTGTTGCTATCTGTTGGTAGCTCCTTCCATCCCATGTCCTTGTATCTCACTCACCCCTTTCAGCCATATACCATCTTTTACTGACCCCCACCATCCCACATTCGCATCCCCCATGACCCATTATCCTACATTCTTGTCCTTCACTGACCGCCATCATCTCGCATCCCTGCCTCTTACTGACCCCTGCCTCTCTACCCTGACTTCTCCCTTAGGGGTTGAGCGGACCCTGGTGCTTCCCGGGAGTCAGACAGCCTTTGACCTGGATGATGTTCGGACTGGGCTCAGCTACACTGTGCGGGTGTCTGCTCGAGTGGGCCCCCGTGAGGGTGGTGCCAGCATTCTCACCATCCGCCGGGGTGAGCGCTGCAGGAGGCTTGTGGGGGACTGCTGCCCGATTCACTCTGGTCCTAGTCCTGATCCCATCCTCTGTCTTTAACTCCTAGAGCCGGAAACCCCGCTTGCTGTTCCAGGGCTGCAAGTCGTGGCATCAGATACAACGCGAGTGAGGGTGGCCTGGGGATCTGTTCCTGGAGCCACTGGATTTCGGATTAGCTGGAGGACAGGCAGTGGTCAGTGTGGTGTGGGGTGTGTGGAAGAATTGCTGAGGGGAACAGTCAGGATATGGGGGACACAGGGGATGGGCAGGAGCCATACCAGCTTTTCCCTCTGATCCTAGGTCCGGAGTCCAGCCGGATATTGTCCCCAGACTCTACTGCCACAGACATCGTGGGGCTGCAGCCTGGAACCTCCTACCAGGTGGCTGTGTCGGCACTTCGAGGGAGAGAGGAGGGCCCCCCTGTGGCCATCGTGGCTCAAACTGGTCAGGGCCCACCCCAGTCCCTTAGCTCTCTGCCTCCAGTGCCCCTTCAAAACCCCGCCTCCCCTCGTGGACCCTTGCTTCCCCCCAGAACTCAGTCTCCCCCTTCAGATTCACACTGCTTCCTCCCTCAGAGACCCCGCTTCCCCCTCAGTCTCTGTTGCCTCCTCTTAAGCCCACCCCTTCTTCAGAGTCCCCTCCTCTTCCCTAAGACTCCCACTGTCTTCACCCTCAGATTTCTACCACCTCATCCCTCAGACACCCATCACCTTTTTTGCTGGCCCCAACTCTCCTCTTAGGCTTACACTTTCTCCTTTGTCAAATCCCCTTCACAACCTCCTAAAACCTCCCTCAGAGCCCCACCCTTTCTCTGTCAGTCCCTTTTGTCACTCAGATTCCTGTCAGCTGCCATAGCAGATTCTCACTGTCCTCTCTGTCAGAACTCTCACTCCTTCTGTGTCTGACTTGTTCACTACCTCCTCTATCAGATCTCTGACTCCTGTTAGACTCCTATAGCCTTCCCTTATCAGAGGACCCCTACTACCTCCCCCATCAGACCCCTTTTGTCTCCCTCATCAGACTCCCCATTGCTTATCTCCCCAGATCCACTGGGTCCAGTGAGGACGGTCCATGTGACTCAGGCTGGCAGCTCATCTGTCACTATTACCTGGACCAGGGTTCCTGGTGCCACAGGATACAGGATTTCCTGGCACTCAAGCCATGGTGGGCACCAGGGGTTTGGAAGGGTGATGAGGGGCAGATTTGGGTGGAATGGGAGCCAGAGGTTTCTTGGGGATCTGGATGGCGCACTGGGGGACAGAGTCTGGCCTAGCCTGGAGCTGCTTCCTTCCCTGCTTCCAGGCCCAGAGAAATCCCAGCTGGTTTCTGGGGAGGCCACGGTAGCTGAGCTGGATGGTCTGGAACCAGATACTGAGTATACAGTACATGTGAGGGCCCAGGTGGCTGGTGTGGATGGGGCCCCTGCCTCTGTGGTTGTGAGGACTGGTGAGTGGACCCTGGCCAGCTGCCTGTCACAACTCATTGGCTACCCTGCCCTGCTGTGTATTCCTGACTGCTCCAGCTGCCCACTCTATCACTGCTCAGTGATTGTCCTGTCCACACTGAACCACCCTACAATTGATTATGCATCATTCACAGTGACCTCATAGTGCTCACACTGCCTGCTCGGAGTCACTGCCTCCTCCCTCTCAGGTTGCCTACACTGACCTATCCACGCTAACCTCACACTGACCTTCAGACTTCCCCTGCATTAACCATGCCTGCACTAACACCCTTTTCTGTCAGACACCTGATGATCTCTGACCCCTTACCTTACCTATGTCTCCAGCCCCCCAGCTTGTGGGCAGTGTATCAAGGTTACAGATCCTCAATGCTTCCAGCAACATTCTGCGGGTCACCTGGGTAGGGGTCACTGGGGCCACAGCCTACAGACTGACCTGGGGCCGGAGTGAAGGTATGGCTCCCTGACCCCACCCTTGTCCTACCTGGCAGGGATTGCCCCCTCCTGTCAGCCACCTCCACCCCGACCATTTCTCTATGCTCACCTGGACAGGTGGCCCAACAAGACACCAGATACTCCCAGGAAACACAGACTCCGCAGAGATCCGGGATCTTGAAGGCGGAGTTAGCTACTCCGTGCGAGTGACCGCACTTGTCGGGGACCGTGAAGGAGCACCTGTCTCCATCGTCGTCACCACGCGTAGGCAGGGCTTAGGCTGGATTGAGTATTGGATAGGTGGTTTGGACAGTTTGGAGAGCAGAGATTGTGTGCTCTGGATTGGGAAGAGGAACAGGATTGGTAGTGAATCTGTGGGGCTGGGTCTGAGAGAAGGGAAGATGATGCCTGGGCTGGCTGGGAAAGGTGCAGGTGCCAGGGTCGACCTGGAATTGGTGCAGGGGCCAGCAGCGAGGGAGCCTCCCTGATTCCTGTGCTTTTTCTCCAGCGCCTGAGGCTCCACCAGCCCTGGAGACCCTTCGCGTGGTGCAGCGTGGGGAGCACTCACTGAGGCTGCGCTGGGAGCCCGTGCCCGGGGCGCATGGCTTCCGTCTTCGTTGGCGACCAGAGGGTGAGAGGTGCCCCCAGGAGGAGATTAGGGCCCAGTGAAGCTGTGGGACTGTGGGCAGAGTCAGCGAGGTGGGCGAGGTTGGTGAGGGTGGGCGGGTTCTCATTGGGGTCTACAGAGTCAGTTACAATAGGTAGGGAGAGTCAATGGGGACGGGTCAGTAAAGGGGGCAAGGTCAGCAAGAATGAAGGAGGTCAGTCAGGAAGGTGGACCCCATTAGCAGTCAGTCAGTGAGGTGATGCGGGGGGTGGTAAGGTGGGCGGGTCCATTAATACAGGGAGGTATCATCCTCCCATGTGTTTCTGACCCCCAGCCTCATACCTGCCATAGGTGGCCAGGAACAGTCCCGGATCCTGGGACCTGGGCTCAGCAGCTACCACCTGGATGGGCTGGAGCCAGGGACACTGTACCGCGTGAGACTGAGCATTCTGGGACCTTCCGGAGAAGGGCCTCCCACAGAGGTGACTGCACGCACTGGTAAGCCCAGAGAGTCTACCTCACTTTGGAGTGTTCCCCCCCACCCATGACCCACCCTGATTTCCTGCACCCCAGATTTGGGGAGACTTCTGTGACTCTCATCCCCTGACCCTGGGTGAACCAGCATGACCTCTCATGACCCTTCACTCAGACAAACCCTGGGATCTCAGTTCTTTGAGTACGCAGTGCATGTGAAGGGTCCAGGTGGCCGGTATGGATGGGGCCCCTGCCTCTGTGGTTGTGAGGACTGGTGAGTGGACCCTGGCCAGCTACCTGTCCCAACTCATTGGTTACCCTGCCCTGCTGTGTATTCCTGACTGCTCCAGCTGCCCATTCCGTCATTGCTCAGTGATTGTCCTGTCCACACAGAACCACCGCAGAATTGACTATGCATCACCCACAGTAACCTCATAGTGCCCACACTGCCTGCTCTGAGGCACTGGCCTCTTCCCTCTCAGGTTGCCTACACTGACCTATCCAGTTCTCGGTTCTCTCCACTCTGGGTTCTGAGGATATAGCCTCTGATCCCTGATCTTTCATTCTTCCTTCAGAGTCACCTCGTATTTCAAGCACTGAACTACGTGTAGTGGACACCTCGATTGACTCCGTGACTCTGGCCTGGAACCCAGTGTCTGGGGCATCCAGCTACATCCTATCCTGGCGGCCACTCAGAGGCCCTGGCCAGGGTGAGGGGGAGGCCAGGGTTGGGGTGGGTTTGAGGCTCCATGAGAAGCCTCCTGTTTAACCAAGTTCTGTCCCCTGCAGAAGTGCCTGGGACCCCACAGACACTTCCAGGGATCTCGAGCTCCCAGCGGGTGACAGGGTTAGAGCCTGGTGTCTCTTATATCTTCTCCTTGACACCTGTCCGGGAGGGTGTGCCAGGTCCTGAGACCTCTGTTACGCAGATCCCAGGTAAGATGGGCACAGTGAGAAGGGCCTAAAAGGGTGGCTGGATGGGCCCCCCACTTCAGAGACTTGACCTCCTTCCTGCAGTGTGTCCCCATGGCTTGGTGGATGTGGTGTTCCTACTGCATGCCACTCGAGACAATGTTCACCGTGCAGAGTCTACAAGGAGGGTCCTGGAACGGCTGGGGACTGCACTTGGGCCTCTTGGGCCACAGGCAGTCCAGGTTTGGCCCTAGGGACAGACAGACCCCCTACCTCACCCTGCCCCTCCTCACCCAGGCTCCTTACCAAATGCCACCACCTTCTAACCCCACCATAGGTTCAAGCTTTCTCCCAAGTCTGCCCCAGGCTCCAAATCTTCTCTCATCTGGAGATTGGCTCCCTCTCCTATCATCATTGCTGACCCCCTGATAAATAGTTCAGGTTTAGTCACACACATTCATGCATCCCTGTGTTTCTCCAGGCCCTGTGCACCTCTATCCCTGCTCTGTCATCCTTCCCAGGCTCTCTGTCTCCCCCTACTTACCCCAGGTTGGCCTGCTGTCCTACAGTCACCGGCCCTCCCCATTGTTCCCGCTGAATAGCTCCCATGACCTTGGCATGATCTTGCAAAAGATCCGTGACATCCCCTACATGGACCCAAGTGGAAACAACCTGGGTAAGGACTGCAGTAGGCACGGACTCCTGGGGCTACCTGTTGGAGCCTGGGGTCCCAGGATTCTGACACGACCTTCCTTCCAGGCACAGCCGTGGTCATGGCTCACAGATACCTATTGGCACCAGATGCTCCTGGGCGCCGCCAGCACGTGCCAGGGGTAATGGTTCTGCTAGTGGATGAGTCCCTGAGAGGTGACATATTCAGCCCCATTCGTGAGGCGCAGGCTGCTGGTAAGGAGTAGGGTTGATGGGGATGAGGCTTGGGAATAGATGTGGCCCCAATAGGGCAGTAATGCAGGCTGCTGGACTCCTCCTCAGGGATCAATGTGGTGATCTTGGGCTTGATGGGATCTGACCCAGAGCAACTACGTCGCTTGGTGCCAGGCATGGATCCTGTCCAGACCTTCTTTGCAGTGGATGATGGTCCAAGCCTGGACCGGGCAGTCAGTGACCTGGCTGCAGCCCTTTGTCAGGCATCCTTGGCTCCTCAGGTTTGGAAGAGGCCTCTGGGGGACTAGGTGGTAGAGAAGATGGGGTCTGGGGGTTCTTGGTAGAAATGCTCAGCTTCAAAGAGACCCTGTGTCCACAGCCCGAGCCAGAGCCTTGCTCAGTGCATTGTCCAAAGGTAAGTGTCCAGAGTGGAGAGGGTGGGTGAAGGTCAACCTGGGGCCAGCCATTCTGACCCTCATCTGACATGTCTTTCTCCAGGGCCAGAAGGGGGAACCTGGAGTGAGGGTGAGTGCCCCTGGAGGGTGTAGAGGATGAGTTGAGGGTCAGCAGAGCAGGGGGGGCTGGAAACACAGGGCTCACTCACTGATTACCCTTCCTAGGGCCTGAAAGGACAAGCTGGGTCTCCTGGCGACCCTGGCCTTCCGGTGAGTGTCCCCATACCTGTCCCTGTGCCCTGACTGGCTTACCGCCTCCTTACCTGCTCTCTTCTCCCAGGGCAGGACTGGTGCTCCTGGCCCTCCAGGGCCCCCTGGAAGTGCCATTGCAAAGGGCGAGAAGGTGAGTGTGGAGTCCATCGAATTCCCTAAGGCACTCCTTAAAGTTTTCCCTGGCTTTTTAGAAGAGAGAAGAAAGAAGCAGACTTAGAATCACAGGGTATTTCTTATACCATGCCAGAGACTTTGAGGGAAGCTCTGGAGTGGACAGGCCTGTGAGACTTCGAGATCCCCCAGAAAGCCTGAGTAGCAGCACTAAGTTCCAGAGATGTGAGAGGCCCTCTGCCTTGTCACTGCCCTTGTGCCTGGGATTGGGCTCCATGAAACTTTGAAGGGCCACTTCTCTGCCCCACTGTTTCATCCCCAATTAACTAGGGACCTAGGAGGTAGGGAGCCTGTTTTTGATGGAATGAGGCTCCTGTAGCAAACCAGGGGCATAGGGGAGGGTCCCTTTCTGACCTGACATCTTTGCCTCTTTAGGGCTTCCCTGGAGCAGAAGGGCCTCCAGGTAGCCCTGGTCGCCCTGGAACTCCTGGTACCCCTGGGACCCCTGGCCCGAAGGTGAGCAAGACTTTCCCTTGTGAGTCATGGTGGACACTTTACTTGAGTGGGTGGGATGGTTCTGTCTGTTCTGACTCTGGCCTCCATTTACAGGGCTCCTCAGGGTGGCCTGGCCCTCGTGGGGAACCGGTAAGGAGCCATCCCTTTATTGCTCTCCCCGCATCTTCCCAGGGTTCTTTCCACAGCGTGGGAGCCGGGGGCCGTGGTACAGTGTTGGCCTGCGGTGACTCACCCTCTGCTCTGTTTTGTCCACAGGGAGAGCGAGGACCTAGAGGCCCAAAGGGGGAGCTGGTAGGTAAAGGGGAAGGGAGGTAACCAGGAGGTCCCGGGGGGGAGCAGGGTTGCCCTGGGCCAGACCCTGTGCAGGCCTAGGGTGTAATAAAGAATAGTTGGGGCACCTCTGGGTCTTATCCCAGCTCAAGGCTCCCAAACCCTGAATCCTGTCCACTGCTCTCTGTCCCTACAGGGGCCTCCTGGCCAGGTCATTGGAGGCGAGGTTGGGCTTCCTGGGCAGAAAGGGGACCCTGGACCTTCGGTAAGTCCAGGATATGAGGAGACAAGTGATGTGTGGTGGGAACATCGACAAGAGGATGGCAAGAATGGGCTCTGTGACGTTTTCCCTTTTACGTTGTCTCCTGCATCAGGGCCCCACTGGACCTCGTGGACCGCTGGGGGACCCAGGACCCCGGGGTCCCCCAGGCCTTCCTGGAACAGCTGTGAAGGTGACACCTTATGATTGCCACATGATTCAGAGACCTGGTGACCCCATTTGAGCCCACTACACACTGTCTGTTGCTCTGAGCCCATGTGACCCTTTGACCATGCCCATGCCCCACCATGACTCCTAAGGTCCCCCATGAGCCTTGTAATCCAGTTGGACCCCATGACCCTTACTTATCCTTCCTGGTACCTTTGGGAAGGAAGGGTGGCGTAGGCTCACGGGGTAATAATCTGTCTTCCAGGGTGACAAAGGTGATCGTGGGGAACGGGTAAGTGAGGGACAAGATGTACTGGGGGTGGCTTGGAGACTGATTCCTCTGATGATTGCCTGAACTACTGTTCTCTCTCAGGGTCCCCCTGGACCAGGTGATGGTGGCACTGCTCCCGGGGAGCCCGGGTTGCCGGTGAGGAGGCTTTGAGTCTCTTTTGGGGACCCCACTTAGGGATGTGGCTAGAAGGACCAGGGACCCTGTTGAGTTGGTGATTGGGTGCTGGACTCACATTTGTACTCACTTTCTGCTAGGGTCTTCCTGGAAGCCCTGGACCCCAAGGCCCAGTTGGCATCCCTGGAGAGAAAGGAGAAAAGGTAGGAAACCTGACTTCTTGGTGTTCCAGTTCTGGGGCAGGAGGCTGGGTGCTGGGGTCTAGGCCTTTTCCTGGATCTTCCCACTCATGTGTTCCTTCTTCAGGGTGACTGTGAGGACGGAGCTCCAGGCCTCCCAGGACAACCCGGGACCCTGGGTGAACGGGTGAGTGTAAGGACTGGGGGTTCTGAGTCTGGTGGGCATAGCTCTGGCTCCCACCTCAACCATCAACTACACCCTATCCTTATGCCCACACCCAAATCTCTGAACTCCCAAATTCACCCCTTTCAGGGCCCACGGGGACCTCCTGGAGCCATTGGCCCCAAAGTGAGTAACCACTTGAGGGGTATGGTGTGAGGGGTGCTACTCTGGGCCCCTCACAGTGTTAGGGGAGGCTGAAAGATCAAGGAGAGAAGGGCTCTCCAGGTCAGAGGCTGTGGTTCTAGAGGGGGTGGTTGGAGCATGAGACACGCTGTCTGGAGTTCGATCATAAAGGCCTCTTTCCTCTGTCTCTCCTCAGGGTGACCGGGGTCTGGCAGGGGCCCAGGGTGAGACCGGAGAGAAGGTAAGTGTGGCCGGGGGAGCTCTCAGGGCCTTAAAGGATCTGGGTCAGGTTCAGCTCTGACCTCTTCTGTTCCACCAGGGTGAACGTGGACCCCCAGGCCCTGCTGGGCCCCAGGTAAGCACACTGACTGCAATGTCATGGCCAGCTGACAGGCCCTGTGCCCCTTCCAGTTCTGACTTCTTCCCCTTGACCCCTACTATCCCTGACACTCACCCCTCCTCATGTGACTTCTTATCCCTGCCATGTAGGTGCTAACCCTCAATCCCAGGGACCTGGTTTTTGACCTCTGACTCTGATAAATTGACCTTGACTTTCACTGACCTGGTCTCTGTTTTCCTGCTGAGTTTGACCCCGCCAGCCTAAATCCCAGTCTTCCCTAACCTCCAGCCCCATCCCCAGTCTCTTGTTTGCTCATAATCCCCCCTTCCCCACCAATCTAGAGCAGCACTTCCATCCTTCTTTCCCAGGGGCTGCCTGGCATTGCTGGACGTCCTGGAGCTGAGGGTCCTGAAGTGAGTCTGTGACTGTGATGGGACCAGGAGGGTGACTTTCATGTATCCCTCCCTTCCTGGGCTCACACTTTCTCCATGTACAGGGGCCACCAGGACCTGCTGGTCGCCAAGGAGAGAAGGTGGGTTATAGGTTGGTGATTGTACCACTTGGTACCAGGGATGTGGCAGGTGGGTCTCTCCTCAGGTTGGGTTCTAGGTGGATCTCTGACCACCCTTGCCCCTACCTTTGCTCCACAGGGGGAGCCTGGTCGCCCTGGGGACCCTGCAGTGGTGGTGAGTGAAGGGAAGATGGGACTCCAAGCACAGCACAGCTCTTGAGCAGTGACCCACCTGTAAACCAGTGTTCTGGGCTGTGATTCTTCAACCCTTGGGACCCTGGGCAGGCTTGGAGCTTGTGGCTCTCCCTATGCTGTCACTTGCCTCCAGACTCCTGGTGGTTCTCCTGTGACCCCATGACCACCATTCATGTTATGAGCTCTTATTTATTTATTTATTTATTTTGAGTTGGAGTCTCACTCTGTCACCAAGGCTGAAGTGCAATGGCATGCTCATGGCCACCACAGCCTCAATCTTCAGCTTCAACCTTCTAAGTAAATGGAACTACTGGCACATGCCACCATGCCTGGCTAATTTTTTGATTTATTGTAGAGATGAGGTCTCGCCAAGTTGCCCAGGCTGGTCTGCAGCCCCTGGTCTCAGGCAATCCTCTCACCTCAGCCTCCCAAAGTGCTGGGATTATAGACTTGAGCCATTGCACCCAGCTACTAATGAGCTCTTTGGGTCAGTCCATTTTGTGTAATATTTACCCTGCTCTTAGTGATGACCTTGTGACTTCTGTGCAAAAGCTGAGTTCTGTGACTTCTAATTCTATATAAACCCTAATTCCTGTTGAGATATTGGTCCTATACTCCCCAGACGGGACCAAGTTGTGTCTGCCTTATTGGTTTTCAGGGACCTGCTGGTGCTGGAGCCAAAGGAGAGAAAGTAAGTCTAGTGTGGATGAGGGGAGGTGGTTTCAAGGTTGGGGTCAAGGTCATAGGATCTCTCTCTGGAACTTGGAGGTCACAGGGCTGTGACATGATTGCTGTGTCATGGGGGTAATTGGAGCTTGGGACTAACAGTGATGGTCTTTGAAACTTCTAGGGAGATATGGGGCCCTCTGGACCCAGAGGAGCCACTGGAGCCAAAGGGGAACGGGTGAGTGAAGGGAAAGTGTTTAGGGTAGGGCAGATGAAAGTTGTACCTTCCTGAATTCTTATTGTTCCACACATAGGGCCCACCCGGCTTGGTTCTTCCTGGAGACCCTGGCCCCAAAGGAGACCCTGGAGACCGGGTGAGTAAATGTGGGGATGGGGGATAGAATAGAAGGAGTTGAGGTGGTGTCTGGGACCCCAACTAAGTCTTGCCCTTTTCCTACCCCCTTCAGGGTCCCATTGGCCTCACTGGCAGAGCAGGACTCCCAGTGAGTACTTGTGACCTTGGGTAACCTCAAGGCTTCTGGGGTCACCTCTCCTTGAGGGGTGGTTGTTGACTATGTACTGCATCGCCTCACTCTTGCCTCCTCCACAGGGTGACTCAGGGCCTCCTGGAGAGAAGGGAGACCCTGGACGGCCTGGTTCTCCAGGACCTGTGGGCCCCCGAGGGCGAGATGTAAGAGGCTGGAGTTGAGGTAGTGGGCAGGAGAGTAGGGGTGTTGCCAGCCTCGTGTCTCACAGGGCCAGAGCTGACTCTTATGTCTCACAGGGTGAAGTTGGAGAGAAAGGGGATGAGGGTCCCCCGGTAAGACGACTCCCCACTGTGGTTCCTTATCCTTTACCCTTGAGCTGGGATCCCAGTGGGCTGGGGATCCACCAGGTTATCCAGTCCATCCAGCCCCACTGCTTCTTGCTCAGCTGGTGCCCAGATCCTTCTCTGTCCCCACTCCCTGATCTAGTTAAATCCTAACTTACCTGCACGTGTGATTTTTCTCTCCAACACCAGGGTGACCCAGGTTTGCCTGGAAAAGCGGGCGAGCGGGGCCTTCGGGTGAGTCTTGACAGGGAAAAGTAAGGTGTAGGGGGGTGGAAGAACCCCTAAAAAGTAGGTATGAAGGTGATGGGAAACTCTGAGGGGACTTGAGGGGGGATGGGAAACTACAGGGACACATGGAATGATGGGAAACTCTGGCTTGGATTTGGGGGTGATGGGGGAACTTGGGGAAGTGGAGGGGGTTATGGCAGAAACTGCAAAATACAGAGAGGGTTTGTCTCAGACAAGCTGCTCTTCTCAGGGGGCACCTGGAGCTCGGGGGCCTGTGGGTGAGAAGGGAGACCAGGGAGATCCTGGAGAGGATGGGCGAAACGTGAGTCCCAGCCGCTGACCCCTCACCCGACCTCAACCTCCCAGCCATCCAGTTCCCAGCCCCTGGTCCTGCCACCCCAACCCTAAAATGCTAAACCCTCACAATCTTCACTTGCTGTGACCCCTGCATCCCAACCCCCAAAGGCCACTAGGATCTCCATGAGTCTCATGGTGCTTCCATAACTCCCCCAAACTGCTGCCTACCCTGAGTGACCCTGACCCCTGGCTTTGTTTAGGGCAGCCCTGGACCATCTGGACCCAAGGGTGAACGCGGGGAGCCGGTGAGTAGTGCTGGTGTTCTGGGCTCAGGAGAGATGGATGGGTTGCTGTTGCTAGTGCTCTGGTCAGTGTCCACATGAGGGACCTGAAGGTCAAGATGGGAAACTTCGATGGCCATCCCTGGGCCTGGCCTGCTTTCTGGGGTTTGGCACTGGGACACTGCAATGAATTTTGGAGATGAGTTAAGCCTGGGGCAAACCTGAGCAGTGTCCTGAGAGGTCAAGGCTCCTGTTGAGGATAATTATCTCCTTTGCCAGGGTTCCCCAGGACCCCCTGGACGGCTGGTAAGGACTGAACTTGTCTGGTCCTCTGTCATCTCTGTCACCTGCTCCTGTTACCCCATGGCTCTATATTCCTTCCACTGACGCCCACTTCCCCCACTGCCTCTCTGATACCCCCATGGATCCTGTAGTCCCTCATGGACCCTATCTCCCCTCACCAGTCTCTCTTTCTTTTGCTGAGCCATTCTCCCTGGTCATTCCCCACACAGGTGGACACAGGACTTGGAGTCAGAGAGAAGGTATTGGGGTCTGTGGGTGGAGAAAGATTCCAGTGTCCCCCAAGACAGATTCTGCCTCAGGCATGCCTTGGCTCAAGGGCTGTTGCCTCAGCAAGCTTCTCTGCCACAGGGGGAGCCTGGAGACCGTGGACAAGAGGGTCCTCGAGGACCCAAGGGTGACCTTGGCCTCCCTGGAGCCCCTGGGGAGAGGGTGAGTGTGGTTGGCCCCTGGCTGGGGTGGTAGTGGTTGTGTGGATCTGTGAAAGCCTGCTCTGACTTCTTCCTCCCCCATCCTCAGGGCATTGATGGGCTTCGGGGACCCCCAGGTCCACAGGTGAGTGATGTTCCTTGCTTTGTCAGTCTCAGTCCCCTATATTACCCTTGTCTCTTATCTGATCCTGTTCCCTCCAGGGGGACCCAGGCGTCCGAGGCTCAGCTGGAGAAAAGGTGAGAGGGTATGGAGGTTTTTCAGTACGTGAATCTGGACTTGCGGATCCATTTATGCCTTTGAGGCTTCTTACCACTGTTTTCCTCAGGGTGACCGGGGACCCCCTGGGCTAGATGGCCGGAGTGGATTGGATGGCAAACCAGGAGCTCCTGGACCCCCTGGGCTGCCTGTGAGTTGTGATAGTCACTGCCTGGTCTTCCCCTTTCCTTTCCCCTTCACATGAAGGTTCTAGACTCCAACTCATCTGAGTGGTCTTGACCTTGATGAGTGCTGGGTCCAAAGTGTTGTCTGTGTCTTCTCCCAACAACCTCCCTGGGTGGGGCATGTTACTGCCATGCAGGCCTAGGATTCACAGCAAACAGTGTCCCTGTCAGTGGGTGGTGCCCCTGACCCTGTGACCATGATTAACTGACTTTGAGTCTCTCCTCAGGGTGCCGTGGGCAAAGCTGGGGACCCAGGAAGAGACGTAAGTGAGGGGAGATGCTGGCATGGAGGGCAGCTCAGGAGTCAGCCTCAGCTCCAGCCAGGGCATCATAATCACAGCAACAGTGAGAGTGGGGGCGGGTCAGTCCTGGCAGAGATGTTTTAGTAGAGTCTCCCTTTCTGATCTTCTTTGTATTGGAGACCTTAATAATCCTCCTAAGATCTGTGGGTTCTTTCATTGAGAGTCTTAGCAGAGGGGCCCCTCCAACCCATGGGGTCTGTGCCTGAGAGAATCCCAATGGGATCCCCCAATCCTGGAGTTCTCTAGACTGGAGGAAGATCTTATTGGGGTCCTTCCAGTCTGTGGGGTGTGCCTCAAGGGATATCTCAGAGGCCCTCTCCATCTTAGCAAATAATTTTTCCAGGGGCTTCCAGGCCTTCGAGGAGAACAGGGGCCCCCTGGTCCTTCTGGCCCCCCTGGAGCACCAGTGAGTCCAAGCTTTCATGCTACCTCTTTGTCCCCTTACTACCCTCACCTCAGCCCTGATATCTGATCAAGGATCTGTTCCTACAGGGAAAGCCAGGCGAGGACGGCAAACCGGGTCTGAATGGAAAAAACGTGAGTGTGTCTAGGGCAGCCACGGTGAAACCTGCTGAGAAAAGCCAGCAGGTGTACACAGCCCAGATGTGCACTAACACCTGAGGCACATGGGTAGACACATGTAGACATGTACAACACCTGCTGCATATATAGCCCAGACATGCACGTGCATCGTGGAACGTAATTCTGTGCACACACAGGCAGCCTTGCAGATACATAGTGGGTTAGGTGAATGGGCCAACTTATGCCCAGATGAACTGACACATGCAGAGATAACCTACAGCCACAGGCACAAGTGAAGAGTCACAGACAGGTTGAGAGGTGCAGACACACTGGCATGAAGCCACATTCAGAGCAACTGGAGACACATTGTTGCCCAGGCATTTACACCCAGATTCAGTGCGTGTGTAGGTGCTAAACCACAGACCCAGGACCACATGTGGGCCCGTGCTGAGCCACGATGGGACATGTATTCCTAACTCTGACATGTAACATGTGCTGGGACATGCTGACATGTCTTTAGGTGCACTGTCATCCACCTACATCTGGCCGTACACATTGAGGTACACACAGACAGATGCCAAGACAAACAGTTCCCAGGGAACTGGGGACCTATGTATACATGTATAAGCCCATGTCCATATGTAGATCGGGCCAAGATTTGCAGATAGACCAGGACACACAAACCATGGGTACACATGCTAAGACGCTATGGATACACACATACACCCAGGACATGTGGACACTCACCAACCCAGAGATGCATAGATGTGAAGTTATATCTAGAGAGCTAGAGACAGGAGGACATGTGGTGCAGGTCCATGCGGACATAACCTTAGACATGCAGCAGCTCACTCAGATCACGCTTCAGAACACTCAGAGCCATGGAACGCCAGGCACAGACATACAGTCATAGTCATCTGAAACGTGCAAAGACAGCATCTTGCAGGCAGAGACCAGTAAACATTTGGGCTAATGTGAGTCCTCTGCCCACAGGGAGAACCTGGAGACCCTGGAGAAGATGGGAGGAAGGTAAGGTCCCCTACCTGGGGTCTGCTCTGGCCTCCGATTGGGGCCATATCTGAAGCATCCTTGTCTTCCTTAGGGAGAGAAGGGAGATTCAGGTGCCCCTGGGAGAGAAGTGAGTGCTGGAGTTTTCTGTTACCTCTTGACCCTGACGCTGTGGGATATAGCCCTACTCTATTCTGGTGCCTCAGGGTCCTGATACTAGCTGCGTTCTCCACAGGGTTATGATGGCCCCAAGGGTGAGCGTGGAGCTCCTGGTAGCCCTGGACTCCAGGGCCCTCCAGGCCTCCCAGGGCCAGTTGGCCCTCCTGGCCAGGTGAGTGTCCAGGGAATTTTTAGGACTTGGGAGCAACAGAGGCCATTATGTTTTCATGGAATACTGGGATATTTTCCTGGGATGCCGTAGGCCTGTGTGACCCTTTTGTGTTCTGTCATATCTCAGGGTTTTCCTGGTGTCCCAGGAAGCATGGGCCCCAAGGTGAGTGTGCATATGTTGGGCAAGGGTATGGGGAGGGGCTGACCAGGGTTGGGGACATTCACCCATCTGATCATTCTTGTTCTTAGGGTGACCGTGGTGAGACTGGATCCAAAGGGGAACAGGTGAGGGGCCCTCACCTTTCACATGCCCAGGTAGCCATAGTGCTCACATATTCACAGACACACTCCAAAGTTGATTCCTAGCAGCTTGTCTCTTGATCTCTCCAGGGCCTCCCTGGAGAGCGAGGCCTGAGAGGAGAGCCTGGGAGCGTGCCGGTGAGCCAACCTCGGGGCCTGACCCTTGACTTATTTTGCGTGCCCACAGGATCCTTCTCTGCAGCCCTTCCCCTTATCAAGAGGCTTGCAGGCTCTTTACTGTGTGCTCTGTCCCCTGTCCCACTCTGGTTCCAGGTTCAAGGGAATCTGGGCAATGGGGACATGCCAGGGAGGGGCTCCCAGTAGACTTTGGCCAGGCCTTGACTCAGGCCTAAAGGGTACTCTGAGCAAGGGCCTGGGGAAGAAGGCATGGAGGTACTTTTCAGAGGCACTGTAGGGCAGAAAGCAGGGGCTTTTCCTTCACGGGTAACCCCTTACCCAGTCTTTTGTCTCCAGAATGTGGAGCGGTTGCTGGAAACTGCTGGCATCAAGGTAGGTCATTTAGAGGTTGAGGGAGGGGGCACGTGGGAGCCCTGGGGCTAGTGGTGCCCACAGGGCCCAAGGTATGGGTGGCTGCAGCTATGGGCCCTGTTCCTCTGATCCCTTGCTTTTACTTAGGCGTCTGCCCTGCGGGAGATCGTGGAGACTTGGGATGAGAGCTCTGGGAGTTTCCTGCCTGTGCCTGAACGGCGGCGTGGCCCCAAAGGGGACGTGGGCGAACGGGGCCCCCCAGGAAAGGAGGTGATTAGTAACTACTCAGTGGGGTGTGCCCCATGAAGGGTGTAGTTGTACAGCCGCCAGCTTTCCCTCTTCTGCTCCCGCAGGGCCCCATTGGCTTTCCTGGAGAACGTGGCCTGAAGGGAGATCGTGGAGACCCTGGCCCTCAGGGGCCGCCTGGCCTGGCCCTTGGGGAAAGGGGCCCCCCTGGACCTCCCGGTCTTGCCGGGGAGCCTGGAAAGCCTGGTATTCCTGGGCTCCCAGGCAGGGCTGGGAGTGTGGGGGAGGCAGGAAGGCCTGGAGAACGGGTAAGCCTGGAGGCTGACCGGGAAATCCAAAGAAGTGGGGTCAGGAAAGGTTGGACACCCATGGACATGGCCCTCACCCTGCTATTTGCATTTCAGGGAGAACGGGGAGAGAAAGGAGAACGTGGAGAACAGGTGAGCTGGGAAGGGCTTCATGGACCGGGGCTACCTGGAGGTTGTTCTGGGATTGCCACTCCATTTTCTTGTTTTCTGCAGGGCAGAGATGGCCCTCCTGGTCTCCCTGGACCCCCTGGAGTCCCTGGCCCCCCTGGCCCCAAGGTGATCATCCCAGCCCTTCCCTAGGTGACCAGGTGGCTACCTTAGGCTTCCATGTGGTGTCTCTGATTATGTAACCTTCTGTGATCCTGTGATCTGTGATGACCCTCCCATGCCTCTGACAGACACATCTATCCCCTGTCACTTGTGATTACAGGTAGCAGTGGATGGACCAGGTCCTGGACTCTCTGGAGAACAGGGACCCCCTGGACTCAAGGGTGCTAAGGTCAGTGTGTGGGATCGGCTTAGGGCCACCACTTGCCAAGGCACCAGAGCTGACTTAACATTTCATCTCCTCAGGGGGAGCCAGGCATTGATGGCGACCGAGGTCCCAAAGGAGATAGGGTGAGGCCTCCTACCCTACTATGTATGTCCCACTCTTTTTCTTTTCTTTTTTTTTTTTAGTTAGAGTCTTACTCTGTCGCCCAGGATAAAGTGCAGTGGCACGTTCACAGCCACCGCAGCCTCAACCTGCTGGACTCAGGCGATCCTTCTGCCTCAGTCTTCTAAGTAACTGGAACTACAGGCGTGCACCAACATGCTCAGCTAATTTTTCTTGATTTATTGTAGAGATGAGGTCTTACCAATGTTGCTGAGGCTGGTCTGGAACCCCTGGGCTCCGGCAGTTCTCTCATCTTGGCCTCCCAATGTGCTAGGATTATAGGCGTGAGCCACTGCACATGGCCTATGTCCCACTCTTTATGGGGGCATACCAGGGTGGCATATCAGGGTGCATGTGTACATGGGCATGTGGCAGGGATTTTGAGCTCAGGACATAACACTCTGCTTACAGGGTGTGCCCGGTATCAAGGGAGAGCAAGGAGAGCCCGGACAGAAGGGTCAGAATGGCAGTCCGGTGAGTCCTTGCCCCTCAGGCTACACATGTACAAGAACTCTTACATGTGTTGTCCTACATGCAGACCTTGAGTTTGCATTGCCTGGGGTTGTTTGGGTCCTGCCTCTGACTATCTAGGGAGATAGTGGGTCCATGGGGAGTGGGAATGGGGGGACAAGGGCAGTGTGACCTTAAACCTGTTTTCTTCAGGGTCTACTAGGAGAGCGTGGTGTGTCTGGGTCTGAAGGGAAGCCGGTGAGTTGTGGCCAGAGTGGCCTGGCCCAGTCTGGAACCTCTTCTAGGTGCTGGCTGCTGTGCCTGTTTACCTCTGTGATTCCTGCCCAGTTGTGGTTCATGCATGTTCATGATGTCTGTGAGAGGCTTGCTGTGTGTGTGTATCTATGTGTGTATGTGTGCAAACTCATGTGTGTTCTCCATGAGGTGCAGTCTGTGGTATGTGTGATCTGTGCTTGGGAGGTGTACAGCATGAAAGTGGGCCCCCAAAGTCAAACCTCCCAGAGAGTGGGAATAGGCCCATGTGATACCCAGATTTATGCTCTTCAATATGTCCTCTATGCAGGGTCTTCAGGGTCCGAGGGGAGCCCCTGGCCCAGCAGTGAGTACCCAAGAACCCTCACTTCTCCTGCCCCCATCCTGTGCCCTGCTCTAATGAGCAGTACTGCCTCAGTTTCCCGGTATCATAGGATTAGCTCCCCCTTGTCAGACTCTTTCTGTCTCCAACAGGGTGGCCATGGAGACCCTGGACCACCTGGAGCCCCAGTGAGTGACGTGGGGAACACTGCTTGGTGGGAGTCTGGGAGGGAAGAGTTGGGCATTGGCCACAACTGATGAACCAGGGCTTTTCTGTGTTCATCCCTGAGCCCAGACAGATAACACTGACCCCTGTTCCCTGCCGTTGACTTTTTCTCTAGGGTCTTGCTGGCCCTGCAGGACCCCAGGGGCCCTCCGGCCTGAAGGTGAGTATAGGCATGCGGGTGGGTGTGGATGGGAGGAGGAGGCAGCTCCTTTGAGGTATATACACACCAGGGTGACATTTGCCAGCCTCTTGGGTTGGCATTCCCTCCAATGAAGCTGAGTACCAGCAGCTCTGTCTTGTGGGCTCTGCTTATGTGATCTCTGGGTCATTTGCAGGGGGAGCCAGGAGAGACAGGACCCCCAGGAAGGGTGAGTAGCTTGGCTCATGAGTTAGGGTCATAGGGAAACAGGTGGGGTTGAACTTCTTTTTCCTCCAGGGTTTGCCGGGACCTACTGGCGCTGTGGGACTTCCTGGCCCCCCTGGCCCTTCAGGCCTTGTGGTGAGTGACTCCCTGTGGCCCCTTGAGGGACACCATGTTTTCACTCCTTGGGTCCCACGTTCTCCTGTGGCCTGCTTTTTTGTCCCTTGCCCTGTGTGACCCTCATATCTGACTTGTTCCCCCTCAGGGTCCACAGGGGTCACCAGGTTTGCCTGGACAAGTGGTGAGTCCTGGGGGTCAGGGACTGGGCTCCAGGGGTCAGGGTCCATACACAGGCCCCTGACAGAGCTCCTCCCTCTCAGGGGGAGACAGGGAAGCCGGGAGCCCCAGGTCGTGATGGTAGCAGTGGAAAAGATGGTGACAGAGGAAGCCCTGGTTTGCCAGTACGTGTCCTAGGGGGAGTTCACTGCAAACCTACTTGGGGTCTCTGTGCCCAGCTGTGTGCCTGGAAGACAAAGAGTGGGCAGCAGTGGGTTGTGGAGAGGCATGGAGTTCCTCACGATGCTTTGTCATAGGGATCACCAGGTCTGCCCGGTCCTGTTGGACCTAAAGGAGAAACTGGACCCATGGGGGCCCCTGGACAGGTAATCTTTGACCTTGTCCCCCACTCCCTGCACCAACTTCTCTGCCTCACCGTCAAGCCTTAGTTTCTAAATCCCATCATGATGGCAGGGTGGGGACGGGGAGAAGGAGGTGGCTGGGCAACTCACTAGGCATTCCCCACAGGCTGTGGTTGGTCCGCCTGGAGCAAAGGGAGAGAAGGTGAGTGTGCTGGAGGACCAGGGAGAGGGGCCAAGTGGTGGGGACCAAGGAGCCCCACTAACCCCTCCCCTTCATCAGGGAGCCCCTGGAGGTTTTGTTGGAGACGTGGTGGGTGAACCGGTGAGTGTGGAACTTCTGACAACAGGTGACCTTTGACCCATAGTTTACTTACTCTCCTGACCCTCAGCTTTCATAATATGTCCCACATTTACCTCTTGTCTCTTGTCCCTCCTTGAGTCTCACCTGTCTTGACCTTAATATCCACAGGGAGCCAAAGGTGACCGAGGATTGCCAGGACCACGGGGCGAGAAGGTAAGGTGGACCTAGCCCTAGGGCCTGAACGTTGGGAGGAAACAGGTAAGGCCAGGTGGCCAGATGCCACTCACCACCCATTCTGTGCAGGGTGAAGCTGGCCGTGCAGGGGAGCCTGGAGATCCTGGGGAAGATGTGAGTCTGGGATCTGGGCAAGCTGAGGCCTGGCTTGAGTAGTGTGATGGTGGACATAGGGACAATTCTTGGGCTTTTGCACATGCCTTAACCCCTGAGTTTGGCTACATGTATCAGCATTTGGGAGCCTGCTCCCTGGATCACATGGGTCACACATCCTTAGTTTCCACACTTCGAGGGCTCGAGGTTTCTATGTGCCTGTCCCTGGTTTGTTCCTCACCATGTCTGAGCACTCACACCTGTAATCCCGGCACTTTGGGAAGCCTTTGCTCCTGTCTGATTGCCCGGGTTTCAGGACACATCTGAGTTTTTGTGGGCCTCACTTTAGTCGTGTTCATAATCTTCCTTTCTCCCCCTCCACCTGTCAATGTTCATGTCTGTGATCACATGTAAGCTTTCTGGGAATGAGCCTGCTCACGTCTGTGGTGCTAGTGTCTGCACTCATGTGAGGGCTCCTTGTGCCTGTGGTCAGGCCTGAACACCATCCATCTGTGGCCGGTCACATCTGAGCTTCTCTCTGTCCGTACCCTCACGAGTCAGTCCGTGGTCATATCTGAGCACCTGTGAGCCATTTCTTGGTCACAAGCTGAGTTCCCTTGTGTTCATGATCATATCTGAGCTCCCCTGGGAGTATTTTGGGTCAAGTCTGGGGTCTGTGCTCATGTTCTTACCCCCTTAAATGCTTTTACTTTGTTTCCTTAGGGTCAGAAAGGGGCTCCAGGACTCAAAGGTCACAAGGTAGGTGTATGCAGAAGAGTCCCTGCTGGAATCATGGTCCTGAGACTCCCTGAGCCTGATTTGACCCCTCTTTCCCTCAAAGGGTGACTCAGGAGTTGGGGTCCAGGGTGCCCCTGGGCCAAGTGGTCCTCCAGGTATGAAGGTAAGTCAATGCCCCATGAGTAGTGGTGAGGGCAGTTGGTAGGGTGGTGTTGGAGGTGGAGGGAAGAGAGAATGCTGGGACTAGTCCTGGGAAGGGTCCTGCAGTGACACTCCTCCCTTTGCTATCTTTATTTTAGGGAGAACTGGGACCCCCTGGTCCCCCTGGTGTTCCTGGTATTGTTGGATTCCCTGGTCAGACTGGTCCTCGGGGAGAGATGGGTCAGCCAGGCCCTAGCGGAGAGCGGGTGAGGGGCTGGGATCAGCATGTGGGGACTTGTTGAATCCGGTAGCAGGTAAGGAGGAGGGGACTCTGACTTGGGGGCTCCCCAAGTCACTCTGACTCTCTTGCCTCATTTTCTCATAGGGTCTGGCAGGCCTCCCAGGAAGAGAAGGAGCCCCAGGCCCCTTGGGGCCGCCTGGACCACCAGGGTCAGTGGTGAGTAGAAGCACCCCAAAGCCCCATGTGTCTGATTTCCTGTGTGTTGAGGTCTGTCCATGTAGGGACTTATGATGGGGATTATGCCATACTGTGGGCTGGGTGTGTCTGTGGGCTTTGAGGGCCACAGGAACCTCACCTCACTCTGACCCACAGGGACCACCTGGGGCCTCTGGACTCAAAGGAGACAAGGTAGATCGGACAAATGTTGCTGGCTCTCTCCTCTGCCCCTGTCTTTCCTTCCCACCGCTGCTGGCCCTGTCACCCTCTGCAACCTTCACTGACCTCCTGTGCCCCTCCATCCCCCCCATTCCTTTCACTTATCCCTGATGTCCTGTTGATCTCCAGGGAGATGCTGGAGCAGGGCTTCCTGGGCCTCGAGGCGAGCGTGGGGAGCCAGGTGTCCGGGTATGTATGTCCTGCCCCACAGCCAGGGCCCACTGCAGGGAGTCACGTTGGGACTCCTTTTATCACAGCTCTAGCCTCTGGTTTCCAACCTCTGAGTCAATGAACCTAATGTCACCATCCAGGGTGAAGATGGCCGCCCTGGCCCGGAGGGACCCCGAGGACTCATGGTGGGTCCCACAGGGGAAAGTCCCAGCAGTCTGACCTCATTCATCTTCCTGTGCCCTCTGTGCCCCAGGACACTCTACATTCCCATCTAACCCTCAGGTCCTCATTGTCTATTCTCTTGTCCCCTTTGGTCCTCACTGTTTCCCTTATCCTGTGGCCCCCCTTGGTTCTCCACTGCCCCTAATTCCCGTAGCTTGCAGTCATCTTCTCTCACACAGGGACCCCCTGGCAGCCGCGGGGAGCATGGGGAGAAGGTAAGGATATGAGATAAAGGTCCTTGTGCAAGTGGGGTGGGGATGGATCTTGTAATTCAGGACTGGGCACTCCCTGGTTTAGGTGGAACTCACACTCTTCCACCCAATAGGGTGATGCTGGAACCGCAGGGCTGAAGGGTGACAAGGTGAGTGTGGGCATAGGGGAGGGCAGCACAGGGGTCATGGTGCTCCTGACTCCTCCCTGCCCCTTCAGGGTGATTCAGCTGTGATTGTGGGACCTCCAGGGCCACGAGGTGCCAAGGGGGACATGGTGAGTAGCCCTGGTTTGTGTGCAGGCTAGGTCTCCCCTAGCCTGGGTGCAGGAGGGGCTCCTGTGGGGCTTGCCTAGGGGATAAAGAGCTCATACCCCTAGAGGGTGAGGGACTTTCAGCCCCTGACTCTGTCTTCTAATCCAACTCAGGGTGAACGAGGGCCTCGGGGCATAGATGGTGACAAAGGACCTCAGGGAGAAAACGGGGACCCCGGAGACAAGGTACGAGGAAGAGGGTGGGATACCCCATATGTGGTTCTGTGGACTGTGGGAGCTCCCTATGGGGGTCTATGAGGGTAGGAGGGAAGTCAGGAGGGGAACTTTCTGGGGGCCAGAGGGGAAGGGAGTCCTGAAGGCAGCAGTGACTCTACGGGTGGCTGAGGGGATGGGGGCTCTAGGGTGGGCTCAAGGGCCTTGTTGTGAGGTCAGGAGAGCTGTGTGGACTTTGGCTCTATGAAGGGCCCCAGAGAGAAAGGAAAGGGGCTCCTTGGGTATTAAGGGTGTTCCAAGTGGAATTAGGGACCTAATGGTGAGTGAAGAACAAGAATCTAGGGCTCCCAGTGTAAGAAATGAGCCACTCCATGGACTACAGCCCCCAGCTCCATCCTGCTATGGCACAGCCAGAAGGCATGGGGCTGCTGGAGGTAGCTGGTAGAAGCAGCATGAGGAGCCTTGCCCCAGGGATGGGTTCCAGTCATAGTCTAAGCTTTCAGACTGGCCTGGTCCTGACTGTGTCCCCCTCCTGGGCACTCCCACAGGGCACCAAGGGAGAGCCTGGTGGCAAGGGCTCAGCTGGATTGCCAGGACTGCGTGGACTCATGGGACCTCAGGCAAGCCCTGCCCCAGTCACAGACCCAGTGCCACGTATGGCCCCCACCTGTCCCTGCATGTCCTCTGAGTGTTGGACTGTTTCTGGCTTCCTCACTGTGGGCCCCTCGTGTGTTCACACAGAATCTTTGTGCAGCCTGGGCACTGGCTGCAGGGTAACCGAGGGGTTGCAGGGGCAGCATAGAGGCTAGCATGGGGGGCAGTCACACTGAAGGGCTCCCTGATCTATGTTTCCTGCAGGGTGAGCCTGGTGCAGCAGGGATCCCTGGTGACCCGGTAAGGTACCCTTGCTTCCACACATACCAGTGTCCCCACAGGAACCCCCATCACCATGGTGGTAGCTCTACCATGTGGTAGCCTTTGACGTAGCACTCTTATGGTGTCCTCATATTGCCTGGGAACCCTTACCTCCATTGTCACTTCCTGTGATGGTGTCCCCTGCCCATGATGACCCCAGTGGCTTTGGCCTCTAGAGATGACTCCCACCTCATGGTGTTCCCTGCTTACTATCCAGGTGATTCTCTTTGATTCCTCACTGGCCTCCCTACACTGACCCTTACCCCCCTAGGGATCCCCAGGAAAGGATGGAGTCCCTGGTATCAGAGGAAACAAAGGAGACATGGGCTTCATGGGTCCTCGGGGCCTCAAGGTAGGAAGGAGATGGAGTATTTTCTGGTCAGGAAGGCCTGATGTGGGAGAATGAGGGATCTGGGGTCAAATGTTGGGGTATCCAGGGTTGAATGTGGGCTAACAGGTGATTGGTTGGAGTGAACAACGCCAGTTTGGAGAGTTGGCTTCAGGGTGAAGGGGTCATAAGGCGAGGTGTCTGGAAATCACTTTTGTACCTGCTTTTCTCCCTCAGGGTGAACGGGGAGTGAAAGGAGCCTGTGGCCTTGATGGAGAGAAGGGAGACAAGGTACAAAGGGAGCAAGGGGTTTGAGGAGCTGCAGGGCCTGAGGCCTAAGGCTAACCTCTCCACCTGATGGCTGCAGGGAGAAGCTGGTCCCCCAGGCCGCCCTGGGCTGGCAGGACACAAAGGAGAGATGGTGAGTGTTTGGCACACCCAGAATGAGGAGGGGTCAGGTGGGCCAGGGACAAGTGCATGTCTTCTTTTCTCCAGGGGGAGCCTGGTGTGCCGGGCCAATCGGGGGCCCCTGGCAAGGAAGGGCTGATCGGTCCCAAGGTACACAATAAGGGGTCAGAACAGGACAGGGAAGGTCGCTGTAGGGTCATGGGGTTTAAGATCAAGGAAGATTGTGGAGGAGTGAGTCGCTGGGCAGGAGTGGAACTGGTCTTGAGGTTTCAAGGTGGGTTGGGGTCAAAGCAGAGAGTTAGAATGAAAGGATGAGAGGTAGAACAGGAGATCTCGTGTGCATCAGGGCAAGGATGGAGTTGGGGTTATGGGTATTATGGCTGGTAGGGTTACAGGTGTTTGAGTCATGGATGGTTGTGGGCATTTGGTCAGAGGGTTCGTGGGAGTTCAGGGAGGTTCAGGAGCTTAGAGAGTTCAGGCTCTAGTGTCTCATGGTTCTTCTGTTCCCAGGGTGACCGAGGCTTTGATGGGCAGCCAGGACCCAAGGGTGACCAGGGTGAGAAAGGGGAGCGGGTAAGCAGATTCATAGTTATTGTGAATTGAGGGGAATGTGCTCTTTGAGAAAGAGTCCTTCCTTGGGGATTCTGATCACTGAACTTGTCCTATCTCTGCCCAGGGCCCCCCAGGAATTGGAGGCTTCCCAGGTCCCAGGGGAAATGATGGCTCTAGTGGCCCCCCAGGGATGCCCGGCAGCATTGGTCCCAAAGGCCCTGAAGGACTTCAGGGCCAGAAGGTAAGGGCCCCAACTCTGATTTCTGACCCTTCAACCTCTCTGTCCACCCTCCCTACCCTTCCAACCTCATAACCATCCTCTAGCTTACCTGTCCCAGCCTCTGAAGCTGTGATTCCCAACTTGCCTGACTTCTGATCCCCACTGCCTCTGATCCTGCTCTCTTGGTCTTTGTGTCTGACAGGGTGAGCGAGGTCCTCCTGGAGAGAGAGTGGTGGGTGCCCCTGGGGTTCCTGGGGCCCCTGGTGAGAGAGGGGAGCAGGTGAGTGGGGATCCCTGCACTTAGATTCAGAGTTTGGGGTGACCTCTGGTGTCTCTGAGATCAGAAGTCACAGTGTGGTCCCATCATGTTGTTCATAGGGGAGGCCAGGGCCAACTGGCCCCCGTGGTGAGAAGGGAGAAGCTGCACTGACAGTGAGTATTGGCCTGGGATGGGCTGGGGCCCTGCCTCCCACACCTAACGCCCTGAGCTCTTGGGCCTGGGCCCCTGGCTCCATGCAGTCCCTCTGTGATCCCTGCATTATGTGCCCTATGTCCTTCCTGTGATTCCTGTGTTCTTCATGATCCTTGTGGTCTTGTGCTCCCAGGAGGATGACATTCGAGGCTTTGTGCGCCAGGAGATGAGTCAGCATTGTGGTGAGTGGGGACCAACCTGGAGTCTCCTGGGACCCGCACCCTTTCCACTCCATCACCCCTAGACAGGAGCAAACAGGTCCCTAGAACTTACAGGAGGCAAATGGTCAAGGAGATGGGTGGAGACAGGTGGATACGCAGGACACATGTTCTGCAGGACCAACACACTGACAGTCAGCTTTCCCCAATGGAGAGAGACACACAGGCAGATATGCATGGTCATGTCGTGTTTTCTGATGCCCAGCATGGCTTTGTGGGGAGGAGGATGGAGATGGGAACAGAGCTGTTCTCACCAGGCCTGGCATGGAACCAGGTGGGGCTGTGATGACCCTGAGGAGCATCAGAGAGTGAAACTGTCTCTTCCCTTCTCCCTCTGTCTGCAACCCTCTTTGTGGTCTTTCCATGTCTGCCTGTCTCTGACTATTGCTGTCCCTCGTTGTCTTTTTCCCTTTATTGACCTGTTCCCAACTTCTCTCTCATCCATTGTCTCTTTCTCTGTCTCTCTGTGTGTATCTTTAACCCCCGTGAGTGTCTGTCTGTCGGTTTCCATCTTTCTGTCTCTCTCACTGTCTGTCTTTGTCTCTCTCTGTCCCCTCCAGCCTGCCAGGGCCAGTTTATTGCATCTGGATCACGTGAGTAGTTTTTTGCTCCTAGAACTTTCTCTGCCATAGGCCCTGTCCATCACATGGGTCCTCTCAGTGGGGTTGGCTGGAGTGGGTGCCCATGGTGACCTCAGGGTCCTGTGCCCTCTGCTCTTGGCTCCAGGACCACTCCCTAGTTATGCTGCAGACACCGCGGGCTCTCGGCTACACCCCGTGCCTGTGCTCCAGGTCTCTCACACAGAGGACGAAGGTGAGGACAGCTGGACCTATGGGGCAGGTATGGGTGAGGCATGGACATGGGTGCTCATGCATACAGGGCACATGCCATGCAGACACGATCCACATGCAGTGAACATGGGATCTCAGTGCTGCCCTCCCCACCCTGGTGTCAGCAGCCACTGCTCACAGCACACCCCATCCTTCCTGCAGACCAGGTGCCCCCTGAGGATGACGAATTCTCTGAATATTCTGAGTATTCTGTTGAGGAGTACCAGGACCCTGAGGCTCCTTGGGATGGTGATGGTGAGAATGGAAATCCCAGAGGGATTTGGGTAGGGGTAGGCAGAACTGACTCCTGCTCACCTGACCCCCATTGGCCCCAGACCCCTGCTCCCTGCCGTTGGATGAGGGCTCCTGTACTGCTTACACCCTGCGCTGGTACCATCGGGTGTTCCCTGGAGGCATGGAGGACTGTCACCCCTTTGTCTATGGTGGCTGTGGAGGAAATGCCAACCGTTTTGGGACCCGTGAAGCCTGTGAGCGCCGCTGCCCACCCTGGGTGTCCCAGAGCCAGGGGACAGGTATGGGCTGACCCTCCATTCCAATAGGGGACTGGGTACCAAGCCTGCCCCAATCAGATCCTGGGTGAAGAGTCACTGGGTCAGAGGTGAGTGTCCTGGGGGGAAGCTCCCTCTGACTGGGGGACCTGAGACAGAATCCCAGACCAAAGAACCCAGCCATGGAGCCCCCGATGTGGCCTCCTCCATATTCTCTCCTCTAAAACCCTAGGCATAGACCTGCCCTCTGAGGTCAGAGTCCCTTCTCCCTGCTGTGGCCTCAGCTTCCCCACCATGGGTCCCTTTGCCTGGGTTTCTCTGTGGTCTACATGCTGAGTAAGAAGTCAGGTGACTGAAGACAGTTTCTAACCTGCCCCACCCAGGTGCTGCCCAGAGCTGAAGCCCGGATGACAAGCTGGAGTTCAGTGTCCCTGGAGGAGTGGGGTCTCAGCAGGACCCTGCTGTCCCTCACCTTGGTGCTAGAGGCCTGTGTGCACATGAGCGTGCATGTGTGTGTCCGTTATTTCAGTGACTTGGTCCTGTGGGTCTAGCCTTCCCCCTGTGGACAAACCCCCACTGTGGCTCTGCCTCCCCCTCCCTGGCAGATGACTCACAGTGGAGGGTGGCTATGGGCAGTGAGCGGATGTGACTAATGTCTGACCCGCCCCTTGACCCAAGCCTCTGATGACATGGTGCTGATTCTGGGGGGCATTAAAGCTGCTGTTTTAAAAGGCTTCTGTTGTGATTGTTTGAGGAGATGGGGGTGTTGGGAGACAAGTTATCCCTGGGGGCTGAGTACTATCCTGCATGGGTACAGATTCCCTCCACCCAACCCTGGTCACAGTCTTTTGATCCTCAAGTCCCCAACTTGTCCCCAGAAAAAAGTAGATAAGGTGAGGGCTGAGAATGTGTCTTCACTGTCCCCCAGGAGGGAATGAGTCATAGGTGGGGAGCTGTTTCGTGCCAGGAAACATTCCTCCATCCCCCACAGAGGGCTAAGGGAGATAACTGGGCCCTTAAGTGGGGCAGAGGGTCAGACCACAAGAGAGCATGGCCTGGCCCTAGCCCCAGGCAGCCACACAGCCCTAATTCAGAAGAAGCTGATATCGGTAGGACTAGGTTGTATGGAAATGTGAAGCGTCTTGGGGGTCGAGTGGACCTGGGGTTTGGGGTAGTGGAGAGTTCTGGGATCTCAGGCTGCTTCTCTGCCTCAGGGGCCCCATTCCTGCCCTTCTTTTTCCTGGACCAGCTGCAGGCTCTCCTGCTCAGAACCTCCCTTACCCCTTTGACCCTCTGAGCTTCTCTCTGTCTCTGATCTTAATTTCCACCATGCTTTCTATCTCTGGGATGGTTTCTATCTCTTTCTGTCTTTTTCTTCCAATCTCCCTCTCCCTCTATTTTGCTCTGCCTTCATCTCTTTCATCTGCCTCTCTCTCCCTCCATCTGTTTCTCTATCTATCTACATATCAATCAATCCATCACCTATCTAGCTATCATCTGTTTATCTCTGTCTCTGGGTTTCTTGTCCCTTTTTCTCTGTCTTTCTGTCCTTCAGGTCTCCTCTGTCTGGCTCTGTCCTGATTTTCTCTCTCTCTCACTCTTGCTCTTATCTCTTCATCTTTATCTCTATCTGTCACTCTCAGTACTTACTTGTCCTCTCTAATCCCTCTCTTGGCCACTCTAAACTTTTTCTCAGTCTCCTCCTCTCAGTCACTCTGTCTCTCTTCTCTTGCCGTCTCTCTCTGTCTGTGAGCCATAGTTGACCAGAGCCCTTGCCCTGAGCTTGTTTTCTCCTCACAGCCTGACCATACGATAACCAGGTGGGCCCTGCTATGCTGATGGTCCTGATACACAGCAGGGTGATGGTTGTCCCAGCAACTTCTATCCCTGCCTCCTAGATCCTTCCTCAGAATGATCCTCAGACCTCTCCCAGCCCTGTGGCCTTAGAGATCCCCTCAGCTACCACCACAGGCCCCCCTGCTGTTGGGGTCCACCCTGGCCCTGGCCCCTCCCTGGCCCACACATCATCCTATCAATGGATGTCCCCATCGGCCTCCTAAAGATCTTACTGGAGCAAGCCCAGGCTAGGGCTATCAGGGAGCAGGCTGCCTCCAGTGCTTGCATCCTGGCCCATGTTGGCTGCCACTGGCCTGAAGGAGGGGGTCACAGCAATGGGGCCACCCTGGATGATAAATCCTGGGGAGCAGGTGCAAAGATGGATGGCACTACATCTGGGCATAGTACATCTGGACAAAGTCATGGAGCCACTGCTGTGTGGTGTTATATCATACCTGAGGGACCCACAGAGTCACGGTATATCTGGACAGCCTGGACATTGCTGTGCCAGGTCACTGACACATGGACTCTTGCCACATCTGTGTGCCTCACAGACTTATAAAATGTCTGGACAGCTTGGATGCTAACCATATAAAGTCACCTCCCCATGGTGTCTGCCATGTCTGGGTGCCCCATAATCACGGAGTATCTGTACACTACCACATGGAGTCACTGTCACGTTACTTTCAGAAGCTTCAACACAGGAGCCAAAGACTGCCTGAGACCAGTCCCTCTAAGACCTACAGGTCCATCACCCCATGGGTCATCACACAGGGAAGCGCTGGCTGCAGGTCATATACAGGCTTCCTGAGGCAGCACCTACCCCAGATGGATGGGGCTGTCAGGTGGCCTCTATAGGCATAGATGGCTATACACAGGAAGTCTGTGACCATGGTGGCCTTGCCTTGTGGGTGAGTGTGCATGTGTGACTGAGCCTCTATGTGCTGCCTACTCTAAGTCTCTGACAGTTGTGAGTGTGTGTGTGAGCAAGGTGCGGGTCTATGTGGGGCCTGGGAGGAGTGCGTGCAACTCCCAACCAGGCACCGTCCTCCTTGCACACCCAGCCTCAGCCCTTGGACATACAAGGCTCAGGGGAGAGAGGACTCAAGCTGTCAGGACTCCAACCCAACTCTACCTAACAATTTTTCTGAGTTGTCCGGAACAAAAGTGTTCACTTTTCTAAACCTCAGTTTCCTCCCCTATAAAGCAAAGTGATGCTAACCTTTCTGTGAACTTTGTGTATGTAGTGTACTCAAAGCTTCTGGCATGTAGGAGGTGCTTAATACATGCAATGATTGAAGGATGGGATGGATGATGATCACAGTCATATGCTCCCAGGCTGTGAATGTGTGTGAAGGATGAGGCACACCTGGCCTGTCTGCCCTTTTACCCCACTCCCTTAAACTGACCTGGTCCCTTGATTTGGAAAGGCCAGGTTTGCCTTATTTCACATACCAACTCCATTGCCGGGCCTGAGATGGGACTGACTTTCTGGGCAGCATGGTCAGCCTTGCCTGCAGATAGGGCAGGTACTCTGGGCCATGTAGACAGCTCCTGCTGGAGGTGACGGCAGACACTGGGTAGCATGGGCAGCTCTGGCTGGAGAGAGAGGCAACACTGGTGGACATGTGGCTGCCCGCCCAGAGTAGGGGCATTGGTGTTGATCGCACAGTTGTAAGCAGCCATGGGGTGCAGGCTGAGGAGGCAGGGCTGCAGGAGACGCTGACCTATTCTCAGAACTGGCAGGTGGGCAGGGTTACCCCACTCTGGAGTTGCAGCGGGCAGTGGCCCTGGCCAGTTCAGTTGCAGGATGGACAGAGGTACATTAGGAGGCAGCCCCCTGCAGGATCTTGGGCCAGGGAAAAGCAGGCAGGTGGCACGGGGCAGTGTGGGGAGAGTGAGGGAATTAGGAAAAGACCTGGGCACTGAAGGGTGGGGCTGGAGGGGTGAGAGTGCTGAGGGGTATCTCCTGGCATAGGGGTTATCTAAGGGGCACATCAGTATGTCAGTGGATGGGAGGAGGGGGAACACCGTTGCCTTGTGAGGGAGAGGGGGCTGGGCCAAGGGGAACTATAGTGTCTTCCTCCATCCCGGGAGGATGGGAGCCAGCTGGAGCTGCCTGAGGCCCTCCTGCTCTACTCTTTGCTGTTCTCCAAGAGATCATGTCTGTCAGGACTCTCCTCATGGGTCACACCAGTTTTGGAGGGGGGTCCAGGGGCTCATTTGGGTAGTTTTTCATATGATGTGGCTTTAGCACTTAAACTATCATTTCTAGGGTGTCTACTCTGTGCCCTGTGCCAGACCTGAGCTTTTTTCTAAACACCCTCTGTGTACTCTGTTCTGGTCATGAGCTTCTCTTAACTCTGTGTGCCCTGGCTGGTCCTGATTCACTAAGCACCTACGCGTGTCCTGTGCCAGGTTGGAATCAGGAGGTGCAGTCAGGGTTCACTGGCTACTTAGTCACACCCCCAAGTGGGAACCTCATGCTCCCTGTGAGCTCTGGGCCCAGGGAGACACTGGGAACAATCCTTTACTGGAAATGGCCAGAGGAAGTTGGGATTCCTGGAAACCCCTAACCCCCCAGTCACAGCAGCAGTGGGGGTGGGGTGACAAAGGTAAAGGTGTGCAGCAGAGAGCAACAGGTCCCATTACAGGTTTCCTATCTCTGTGTACATGTCTGGGTGCAGGGCTTGTTGTGTGTGTTCCTATGTGTGCATCTGTGTGTGTGCACGTGTAGCTGTGCCAGTGTGTCTGTGTGCCTCACACTGATGTCCCTGTGGAGGTGGTCTGGCGGTTCTGCCAGGACTGGTTAGCAGATAAGGGACTAGGAGGAGCATAGAGGACTTGGGCCACCCCATGGCCTCCAGACTTGGACACTGGGAGAAGGTCCAGTGGTCAGGGCAGAGGGCACCATGGTAGCCAACCAGGGTCAGGCCAGCAGGTTCATAGTTGGGCGAGACTGAGCCGGACATGTTCACACACAAGTGCACACTGACATGCCAGCATACTTCCCACGCCCAGGGCAGGATTCCAGGCTTACTTTGGGATGCCCTGAGGAGGGCAAAACCATGAGGGCCAGTTATTCTATTGGGCATCTATTGATGCTGTGCAAGCAGGCTAGGAGAGTATTTCATTGGAGGGAACCAGCAAGGGTATGGATGCGGGGCACGTGCTAGTGCTGTGTGTAGTAGGTGAGGCCTTGAGGGTTAGGAGCAGTGCTGAGTCTGTCCTACCCTGTGGGCTGGCTCTGTGATCCTGGGCCCTCCTTCCCTCCCTGACCCTCAGTTTCCTACCTGAGAAATAGGGCCATGGAGCTTATCCTCAGAGTAGAAGTGGGCTCTGGCCTTGGGGAGGGACCCTGGTTTTCTAATGTTGACCTGTGGCCTCTCATCTGGATATGGGGACTTGGAAGGGTAAGTCTGGGTCAGTCCAGTGTCAGACTTTTGGGGGAAGAGTGGGAGGTGCAGGGCTGCTGCATTTCCTGGGAACCAGGTTCATACTGTCTGGGAGTGGGGATGGCCTCCCAGAAACAGCCCCAGCACTCTGCCCTGTCCCGGCTCTCCCCTACCTTCAGCCCTTGATTATGAGCCCAGGAGAGCTGGGGAAGAAGAGAATGTAGAGGCCACAGGAGGTGCTGGGTGTCTGTGGATGTTAGAGGAGGTAGCTTCGGCAACAAGGCCGTGGGTTAGGCAGGCTGTGGGCATGTGGTGATGAGGCCTCTGGGGCAAAGGTGACCCAAAGATGGACTTGGCAGTGGCTAGGAAAGAGACAGAAAGGTTGACTTTGGAGAAGTAGCGAGGAGATCACAAGGGGCATCCTGCTCTTCAGAGCTGCCCAAGGCTGTGCTCAGAGCTGGGAGTGGGGTGGAGGGAGGGCGAGGTGGACCCCACAGAGGGAG